TAACACACTACCTCTTGTGACTACAATTATGACTTCAACCGTGTGGCGTCAAAACGGCCAATGACAAAACGGCCCCGTCAAAACGACCCCGACAAATCAGCCCCGACATAAGAGCCCCGTCAAATTGACCCCGTCAAAATGGCCAGCGACATATGGACCCCGTCATAAAGGCTCCCGATAAATAGGCTCCAGTCAATTGGGCTCCCGACAAATAGGCTACCGTTATATAGGCTCCCGACATAAGGGGTCCAGTCAATAAGGCTCCTGACAATTAGGCTCCCGTTATTTTGGCTCCCGACATATCGGGCTCCCGTCATTTAGTTTCTCCACAAAACGGCCCCAGTCATTACGACTCCCGACAAATAGGCTCGCGTCATTTTGGCTCACGACAAAAAGGCTCCTGTCAATTTGGCTCCAGACAAAAGGACCACTGACAATACCGTTTCTGTAGAGACTAAGTCTCACGGCAAAGAGGTCTCATTGAATATGACACCTGCCCGTGGGACCCCTTCATCAATATTCTTTACAGTTAGCTTATCCAACACTCTTAGGTAATACAACGTATGCATCTCTTGTTCGGCAGGCCTTATTTTTATATTAGTTTATGCATTATAAAATATAGTATGTTTTAATTTAAGGGCCATCTATCTATGACTTCCATAATTGAATCTGTTATAGGCTGTTCCAACTCAGTGTGTGGGGAGAAGGGTCCACGCTATACCTTCCTATCTGCAGTATGCTTGTAGGTTATCAAAACAAAATGCTGTTATCCTGTAAACATCATGTATATCGTACATTTTCACTTCTGTGCTCGCTTTTATGCAACAGATCTTTACTGTTGCAAATTAAACATCAAAATTTTAAAATTGGTAGAGTTTAGCTGTTAAGAGTTTGATTTGTATGTTTGTTTGTGAATTGATGTTGGTTCATGAAAAACTATTTCATTCAGGCATTAAAAAGAGGTTATAGTAGTAGTGGAGGTAGGACAAAATGGTTACTTTAATGCCAACAGTGGTCATGCCATTCATTTGTTTGGAGCCAATATGTCGGAAGTCCTTTTGTCGGTAGCCAATATGTCATGAGCCCATTTGTCGGGAGCCCATTTGTTGTGAGCCCTTATGTCGGGAGCCAGTATGTCCGGGGCCTATTTGGGTCGTTTTGTCGGGGGTCGATTTGACGGGGTTATATTAACAGGGCCGTTTTGACGGGGTCATATTAACAGGGCCGTTTTGACGGGGTCGATTTGTCCCGGGCCATTTTCACAGGGCACCGACTTCAACGGTATTCCCTCTACAAGTGGCTTCGTCAAACTCATGCGACAGACGACCTCAGCCAACTACTAATTTCTCAACATCGAGCTACACACCATCAAAGCAGAGGACTCTAAATTTTATAATAATAACCTAGCTCTCTCGCCTACACTCACTGTGCACGGATATCCTATAATTAACACTATTCCTTCTCCGTCAACAAAGCGTAGGTGTGTTTTCATAGATTTTACACTCCACTCATAGCATTTAGTATAGCTAACTCTTTAATATAGTTTCGTCCATCACATGTGGTAGGATTTTTCATGATTATAAACCCATGACATGAGATGTTTTGTCTGGGAACCATATATATATATATATATATATATATATATATATATATATATATATATATATATATATATATATATATATATATATATGTCTATCCATATGTGTGTATGTCTGTGTGTGCGTCTGTGTGTGTCTGTGTGTGTACCACGACGATTCAGTAGATAAACCTTACACTGTCTCTCAGCATAATAATGCAAGTATGGTAGACTCTATCCCCTGTCCCCTTTACTTTACCTGAACATGAATCAGACAGCCATTACGGCTGTGAGGATTCCATTCTCAATCCGAGAACAATTGGGTCAGCAGTCGAACGCGCTACCGCCGTACCATTCCACTCTAACACTTACAAAATATATAACTACTGTAAGTTTATATATTGTAAAATTTACAATTTGCCGAGTGTGTGATAGCAATGCGTGTGAAAACTTGTTATTAACCCTGTTTTTGCCATTTGCAGATGCCTATTTTTTAAAACTAATTAGATCTAGATGTTAATTTAATGTATATATTATCTATCAGTTGGCCGAGATGGTGATTACGAATGTTGTTTGACAGTCTTCTAACTTTAATGTAGGCACTAATAGTGGTTTAACGGTATTTTATCGCAAATTTCGTTTCATATTTAAAAAGTCAAAGGTTGGAGGTCATTCCGAGTGTAAATTAGGTAAAGATGGATACAAATAGACAGAATTCGTTTGGTAACGCTGTATTTTAAATGTAATTGATTTATTATTATAATTTGTTAAGAAACTAAAAACAACTACTTCTTACAAGGTTCGTATTGTCTAATTATTGAATCATAAGAAACAACAAAATATATATTTTAATTTGGTTTGTTCCGAAAATAAAAAAAAGGCAATTGTAAATGATTTTATAGGCTACTTTGTGTTAAAGTGATGTTTTTAAATTTAGTTAAATTAAAACGCCGACTAAATCTGTCTTCGATGAATCAAAGTTGTACAACAAAACAACGTGTGTACACGATAAACAATAACTCAACATCAAAACTTCTCAGGATCCAAATTTTATTGGCCCATCAAAATAACAAACAATAACTCAACATAAAAACTTCTCAGGGTCAAAATGTTATTGGCCCATCAAAATGACAAACAATTACTCAACATCAAAACTTGTCAGGGTCCAAACTTTATTGTCCCATCAAATAGACAAGGTTATTCATCCTAGTCACAAATAGGAGGGCACAGAATTCGTTTGGCCACAGTTTGATCTCCAGCGTCCTTAGCCTAAATCTCCACAAGCTCTTTCCCCACTTCAGTCAGCCCAGCCTTGCCGTCCTGTCGACATAGCGTTTATATGTTATAGTAATTCTATTTTAAGTTATCAAAATTTCAAACCGAATAAAGAGTAACTTATTTAATACAATACTGGAACCAATATATCTGCAACTAGTGGTGGATCGAATATTTAAACAATATATATATATATATATATATATATATATATATATATATATATATATATATAGTTATATAGTTATATAGTTATATACCTACCCTTTATATTTTAGCAAATTAGCTAAAATCAGAATTATCCAATATGCAGTTATTGAAAATGTTAGGTAATCACATTTGGGTTTTTCGAGTTTTGTAGTATAATAATTTTAAGGATGAGGTTACAGAATCGCGATCACTATATAACATTTCTAATACCAAAGTAGAAATATTTGATATCGTGATATACATCATGATATTAAAGTAGAAATAGCTTTATCAAGGCACAGAAGCATTTAATGAATATAGCTTCAGATAATGTAGGTTTGTTTAATGCTTAAAATAAATGCAAACATTGGAACCTTTGGCTAAAGTAAAAAAAAGTTTCAGTAAAAGTTAGTAGACTAAAGATAGAGCTCTTACATTCATCACCAGCGAATTGTGAAGTATTACATGCACTATAACCCAGACAGTGATAGGTAAATAACTGATTTGGTGAGTAACACGAAGAAACGCACGCTAGGGTCACACAGCAACACAAGGGCAGATAACTTTTTAAACTCGGGTCTCAAAATGTATCACGTATAACGGAATGCAATGACTAAATAGAAACAAACTTGGGTGAAATAGAGTTGTTTGATTAAACCGCAAACCACCAACTCTCGAAACGTAATGTATCAATCACAAGCTCGAAATTTACGTTTACTTATAAAAGTACCATACTTACATCTAGGCTCGCCACATCAGCAGCTAACACGGCAAACAGCAGCCCTAAACAAAGGAAGAAGACGATGGATTTCATGGTACTGCTTTCTGTATTGAAGATGGTGAATCTTGTTTCTGTTCTTGTTTTTTGATACAAGTTCGAAGTCAGATGTCTTACAGCTAGAAGCAAGCAGCTGTTTTATAGTCAGTTTAGAATTAAATTAAGATAATTTGAATTTTAGATTACCGAATGATAAAACTAAAAAACAATATTTTGAAAGGTTCTAAATATTACGTTTAAATTCAAGCTATTTCAAAATTTAAATATTAAACTTACACAGCGTTCCAAAACTCAATTAAAAGAAAACAACGCATACAAACTGCTTCATGTATCTTTAATACACAGTGATAAGATTTGACTTATTCTGTTTCTTTAGTAGAAAACAACTTTTTTATTCATAAAACGCATTAAACATTTTAGCTTTACAAAAACATAACATCATAATTTGAGAATCCCCTTGAACTAAAACGGCAAAATGTATACGCCCCCAGAAATCTCACTAAAAAAGTTCCAAAACATTTTAAGTATTAATAAACTGTTATTTGAGTATCCTCTGTCTAAAACATGTTAAAATTTTGACAAATGAGATAATACACGACCAATGCACGAGTGGGTTGTTCAGTTTTCGAAGCATGTTGTATGATTTGTATGACCGTTTGCATCTATTAACTCATTTTCTGAAGTGTTGGCCAATCTCTTGACATTTCGTTGACCCTGTCTTTGACACGAGACGCACCCTCGTGGAATGTCATGGTAATGTCAAACCTGTTACTGATCAAGACTATTTGGCGGGGCATAACAAAGCGAATGGCATGACGAAAGCAAAATATATCGACTTAAAACATACAATTATTTCAGCAGCGTTTAAAGTAAAATTAAAACCAAACTGAAAAGATTGGATTAATGTTTATTTTCATATGAAAGCAGGAGCTGATGATAAAATTATACCAATATCAGCAACAAATTAATTAAATAATAGAGTAAGTAATTTAGTTTCATTTGTATTAATAACTAAAAAGGATTATATTCATTTATTTTTACAATTTTTTTATTATTTGATTTTAACTATATTTTACTTTCAAACCCTTTAAATTTTTTATGTGAGGAATGTTTTGTTCTATGTTGTGTTATGTTATTTACATTCCATATTTTTAACAAACGTGTTCATGTTTTGAAATGTCGTTCTGACCGACACAACAATGCTGTTTACAAACTTGGTTATTTTTTTGTTGGTTAGTTCGATTGTGGCTACGGAAAATTCAGGTAGTTTTATGTCGTTTTTCTTGTTACTAAATTAACCGACGTGATATACATTTACAAAAGACGGATTTCATTGTAACTAACAAGTACTGTTCTTATTTTAGTTAATCCATGTGTTAAATGCGTGTGTTTATTTTTATAAACCCCTAGATCTAGGTCTAGACATGATTAAAAATAGCATTGTTTGCACGTAAAGTATTTTGTCGAGATAGTTATTAGCCAGTATTAGAGATATGTTAATGATTAATTTCAGGCACAATATAACACAAATTAAATAATCCTCTTTAAACCTAACGGTCAATAGAGCTGATACATTGGGAAAGAGCCTTATACATTGTGTTAAAGTCGTATACATGGTGTTAGAGTCGTATAAATTGGTTAAAGAGGAGTTTACTTGTACTCATCATCTCAACGTGAACTTTGACCTTTCTGTGTTTTGTGTAGGGTGTCAATGGGTCCATTCAGTGAAGATAGGTCGCAACTGCTACACTTTTTTCAACATGAAGTACAATTTTGCTGAAGCATGGGTAGGTCTAGCTAACTATTACAAATGTGATGTGTTTTTTTGCTTTCGCTGAAGCATAGTTAGGTCTAGCTAACTATTAGAAATGTGATGTATTTTTACTTTGCTTGCTGACTCTTGGCACATTACAGTGATGTACACAAGAAAGGACAAGTTCAAGGCCCGTGCCATTTTTAAAACCGTTATGTAACTTTTTAATTTTAAACACGCTACATTTTGATACTTTTAAAGTCGTTTCTTTGCTTCAGGGATTATGTAAATCACTATACCTGTCTGGGTCACTACCTGTGCATTTGAACTACATTAGTTTGGCCAGGCTGAGCAGCTATATGCACGGTATCAACCGAAACAGTGAGTACATGTTAACACTTAGTTCACACATGTTGATACCGAGTAGATGTTTACCCTTACTTCACATGTTGATACCTAGTAGATGTTAACCCACCCCACCCCTCCACACCACACCTCTACCCATCCCACCACACCTCTACCCACCCCTCACACAACACCTCTATCCGCCCCACCCCACCCCACACCTCCACACCACACCCTACCCACCCCTTCACACCACACCTCCACCTACCCCTCCTCACCACAACTCTACATACCCCTCCACATCACACCCTAACCACCCCTCCACACCACATCCTACCCACCCCACCCCACGCCTCCACACCACACCTCTACCCACCCCTAAACACCACATTAGGAACCCCTCCAAATATCACTTATACTCCCCTTCCGCCCGTCCAAACAACACCTCTACCCACCACACCATACCTCTACCCCTCACACAATACCCCTACTGACCCATCTACCCACCCCATCACACCTCTACCCACCCCTCACACAACACCCCTACTGACCCATCTACCCACCCCTCACACAATACCCCTACTGACCCATCTACCCACCCCATCACACCTCTACCCACCCCTCACACAACACCCCTACTGACCCATCTACCCACCCCTCACACCACACCCCTACTGACCCATCTACCCACCCCTCTACCCACCCCTCACACCACACCCCTACTGACCCATCTATCCACCCCTCTACCCACCCTCACACCACACCCCTACTGACCCATCTACCCACCCCTCTACCCACCCCTCACACCACACCCCTACTGACCCATCCATCCACCCACCTACCAACCCCACTTCTACCCACCCCTCTACCCAGACCTCTACCCACTCCTCACACCCCTACTGACCCATCTACCCACCCCTCTACCCACCCTCACACCACACCACTACTGACCCATCTACCCACCCCTCTACCCACCCTCACACCACACCCCTACTGACCCATCTACCCACCCACCAACCCTCAGCCACCTCCTGGGTTGGCCTGATCCGACAAGGCTTGACAACCTGGACGTGGACGGACAACACGACGGCCTCCGTGTCAGATCTCTGGGACGACAACCAGCCAGACAACTGGAACCGCTCCGAGAACTGCGCCCACCTCCGCCACAACTGGAAGCTCAACGACGTCAGCTGTCTCCAAGAGATGAGCTTCTTCTGTCAGGAACCACGTAGGATTATTTTTTTTGGATCACCCTCACAATTTTGTTTCTTTCTTGATTAGACACACCGTTTGTATACAGCCACATTTTTGTAGCTTTGATGGTGTGTTAAGTCCCCCCCCCCTCACCCCAGCGTCTTGTAGCCACCACAGAATGATTTTGTTGGATTACACATTCTGTTATTTACTAGTACAAACAGTTTATTACACGTCAAGCATAAAAATAAAAAATGTTGTAGGCTTTCCGTTTCGCTAGTATGACTTGTTCTTTGCTCCCTTTAGTATTACCCACATTACGCGAATTACTAGTTGCATTTCATATTGCTGACCAAATAATCCATATGTCATGTTGCCTACAGAAGTAACGTATACGTTAACTTAAGAATGGTCCACAGGGCAAGGGAAGTAGAGTTCACACGGGGCATGATGTAGTTACATGTTTCTGTGACCTTAGCATAAGAACAGGTAGCGTTGTCAGCACTAAATACGCTTGGTCGAGTATATTTTCCCTGATGTGAGAAAGGTACCGATTAGAGCTGGAATGACTCAGAAACATCGTACTCATTCCAGTCCGCGATCCGAACTCGAGACATTCGGGCTAGCTGTCATACGGTTAACGGTCTTGAACCAGGATCCGAACTCGAGACATTCGGGCTAGCTGCCACGCGATTAATGGTCTTAAACCAGGATTCGAAGTCAAGACTTTTGGGTTAGCATTTGTATGGTCTACAGTTTGGCCACACCGTCCAAGTAATGTATAATTCTCCTTTAAATGTGCTTATCTATCTCTTCAAAACACTTGACAAATGTTAACCTTATTCCTCAGTGATATGATTTTGGGACACCTGTTTGTGCTGTTACTTTGGGTATTAGCCGGAATTTTAAATAAATATAGAGAAGAGGTTTCTATTTTTATAAGTTACGAGGCTCATTGAAAACTTAATTCAGCTTCTTATTTTAAAGTTTGCTTACAAGTGTAGTATGCTGAAATCGTGGCATCTATTTTAAATTCATCACTTTCTCAAAGTATATTCACTATTACCCGTCTTCATTTGTTAAACTAGTTGTTTTACACATATAAAAACTTCACTCTGTATCTCTCTATACATTTCCTTCCCTCTCTATCTCTCTACGTTTAAATCATTTCCTATCTTACGCAGTCTACAGTCTTACAGTCCCACATATGATACACCAGTGATAAAAAATATATTCCAGAGATGCCACGGTCCTATCGCCCAGTGTAACAGTCCACGATTGATCCAGCACGCTCAAGTCTACCCTCTCCACAGCTCATCAAGCAATAAAATAAGTTTCCTGAGATTATAATATTTTATTTCTATTTTTACGATACAGATTCTATAAAATCAACTCAAATTTTTGTTTCGCTTGAAAATGTGTTTCTTTTTTGAGAACTTGTAAGGAACTTGTGACAAGAACAGGGTTGTGTTGAAGTGTCAGCAATAATCATTAAATACACAAAATAAATTTTTACCACACACAATAATCATTCAATACACATAATAAACAATCAGTACACATAAATAACATTCAGTAAACACAACAAACATTTAGTACACACAAAAACATTCAATACACAAAATAAACATTCGGTACACAGAATAAACATTCAGTACACACAATAAATATTCGGTACACAATCATTCAATACACACAATAAACATTTAGCACACACAATAAACATTCGATACACAATAAACATTCGGTACACACAATAAACAGTACTTACAATTAACATTTAGTACACACCAAAAATATACATAACAAACAATAAACATTCAGTACACAAGCAGCCATCAGCCGTGCGTATACCCAGTCACGCGTGATTTCACCAGTGTAGGTGTCACTACTATGAATATTATCACCCAGACTTCTGTAGACAAAAGATACAAATGTATTTATTTTCATACTTCTGTATTTTTTTAATTACGCTACTTATAAATAACATAACTTAACTTTCTACAACCATGATGCATTTATGACGAAGTAGTAATTAAACAAATAATATTAGAAAGTTATTTTAAAATGTTTATTTGTATACTAATTTAAATACTTGTTAAGGTATTTTGACTATTTTCTTCAGCAGATTTTCTTCCAGGCATCCCATAGAAAATATATACTTTTAACAGTGTCTGCCCCCCCCCCCCTCTCGAAAATTTTAAGTGCATCCCCGAGAAAAAAGTCTGGAAGACTCACTGTTATTCAGACTTAACGTCTAGGATGATTTTGTTACACAAATTTTGGACTACAGATATTTGGTCTACAGACATTTGGTCTACAGACATTTTGTCTACAGACATTTGGTCTAAAGACATTTTATTACAGACATTTTGTTACAGACATTTGGTCTACAGACATTTGGTCTACAGACATTTTGATACAGACATTTGGTCTACAGACGTTGGTCTAAAGACTAGCATCTAAGTATTTGTATACAAAGAAACGATAACGTTATTCAGATGATGTGTGCACCTGTGTTTTTACCTGGTTGAAGTTGACGATGGCCATTCATAGAAGCTGCTCGTCCTCCATAATAGTCTTGACGTCACGATGGATTGTAAAGGAACAAAAATCAGCATGTGTTAGTAGGTTGTATGTGTATGGGCTAGGGTTAGTCGTCAGTGTTCAAACTTAGGGTTAGGTATACAGGATTAGGGTTATATAGAGTGGCTAGGATTAGAGTTAGGTATATTGGCTAGGGTTAGAGTTAGGTATAGTGGCTAGGGTTAGAGTTGTGTATAGTGGCTAGAGTTAGAGTTAGGTATAGTGACTAGAGTTAGAGTTAGGTATAGTGGCTATGGTTAGAGTAAGGTATAGTGGTTAGGGTTAGAGTTATGTATAGTGATGAACCTCTTCGTTGGATGATATTTATGTTGAAAAAAGAAATTATGATTTTGTTATAGATTTTTGTTTTCTTTAGTTTTTGTTTATATTAACATCTGTGTTAAATCTTGCCTTTGGCAATGATACAAACATTTACGAATGGCTTAAAAAAATTGGTAGTTTTAAACAGTTATGATCATTTTTAAGTTTTATTTAGTTTATTTTTCTGCTACATAGTTCATGCGTGTTACGCTTGCAATGTTGTGAATAAGTTATTATTTTTTTTCAACATTATGAAAGCATTCATTGTGAAGTATTGTAAAATACTTAAATTAAAACATATCGTGACTTTTAGTGGACATGATACTCACCAAATACCGTCTAAATATGGACAATGTACTCACCAAATACCTTCTAAATATGGACAATATACTCACCAAATACCGTCTAAATATAGACAATGTATTCACCAAATACTGTCTAAATATGGACAATGTACTCACCAAATACCGTCTAAATATAGACAATGTATTCACCAAATACCGTCTAAATATGGACTATGTACTCACCAAACATCGCCTCTATAGCGATGGCTTTGCTGGTGACCGACGTGGCGTTCTTCTCAGTGGCGGCGGCCCACACGAGCCTATACTTGTTGGACCGGGAGACGCCGCTAGTGGTGGAGATCCCCAGGACCAGGCGGGTGTCGGGCATGTCCTCGACAGACGCGCAGACGTGGGAGGCGTGCATCCACGGCACGTTCTTGCGTAGTTTCAACCGGTTGCACTTGGAAGGGAAACTACATACCTGTGGAGGTGGAGTTGGTTCCAGGTGTTTACAAGTCAATGGTGGAAAACAGCATTTACAAACATGGGCTTGGTGAATTTTACGAGTAGATGGAAACCAAACTACAAAATGAATTTTAAGTTTGTTGATGAATATTAGAACCCAACAAATATTACTTGATTAAAGTTAACCAATAGAATCGCACTGTATGTGTTCAATATTATATATGTCTTATTTACACAAAGATCAAACACGTTTAGCTTGTTTCCAACGTTATTATGAAGTTCTAAGCCACAAATAATAAAAATAAAAATTAATAAAAACCAATAAAGGTCACATAATGTTTTAAACATAATTTTTATAATATATATTTTAGGGAGATGTTGATTGTCTTTACTACTATGGTTAAATTATTTTCAACACATCAAAATATTGTAACATTCCGTTTAGTCAAGATCGCTTAGTTGCTGATTCATCTTACTGTCGCGTCCCCACGCTCGACATTCAAGCACTCAACTAATTAACGAATGAACTACAAACAACCAGTTTGTATTTACCGTTGTCCAGTTCTCCTCAGCCGTACAGCCTGTCTGACACACCTGGGCAGAGATCGTGCGGCAGTGGTCCATAGAATAGAACCAGTTGTAGGTGTTGACCCTGGCCTGCCCGTACAGGTAGATGGAGCTGTTGTGTGCCTGCTTGCAGTCGTTGCAGGCACGTAGGGTCAGGTCAAATATCATGGAGCTAGGTGGTTCTGGGGGTGGGGGGGGGGGAATAGGACTTTGTCAAGTATGGGGATAGGTGGTGCGGGAGTTGTGTGGTGGAGAGGGAGTTGTGTGGTGGAGGTGTATGGTGGAGAGGGAGTTGTGTGGTGGAGAGGGAGTTGTGTGGTGGAGAGAGAGTTGTGTGGTGGAGAGGGAGTTGTGTGGTGGAGGTGTGTGGTGGCGGGGGAGTTGTGTGGTGGCGGGGGAGTTGTGTGGTGCAGGGGGAGTTGTGTGGTGGAGAGGGAGTTGTGTGGTGGCGGGGGAGTTGTGTGGTGGCGGGGGAGTTGTGTGATGGAGGGGGAGTTGTGTGGTGCAGGGGGAGTTGTGTGGTGGAGAGGGAGTTGTGTGGTGGAGAGGGAGTTGTGTGGTGGAGAGGGAGTTGTGTGGTGTAGGGGGAGTTGTGTGGTGGAGGTGTATGGTGGCGGGGGAGTTGTGTGGTGGCGGGGGAGTTGTGTGGTGGCGGGGGAGTTGTGTGGTGGCGGGGGAGTTGTGTGATGGAGGGGGAGTTGTGTGGTGTAGGGGGAGTTGTGTGGTGGGTGGTGGAGTTGTGTGGTGTAGGGGGAGTTGTGTGGTGGGTGGTGGAGTTGTGTGGTGTAGGGGGAGTTGTGTGGTGGGTGGTGGAGTTGTGTGGTGTAGGGGGAGTTGTGTGGTGGGTGGTGGAGTTGTGTGGTGTAGGGGGAGTTGTGTGGTGGGTGGTGGAGTTGTGTGGTGGAGGGGAGTTGTGTGTGGTGTAGGGGGAGTTGTGTGGTGGAGAGGGAGTTGTGTGGTGTAGGGGGAGTTGTGTGGTGGGTGGTGGAGTTGTGTGGTGGAGGGGGAGTTGTGTGGTGGGTGGTGGGTGGTGGAGTTGTGTGGTGTAGGGGGAGTTGTGTGGTGGGTGGTGGAGTTGTGTGGTGTAGGGGGAGTTGTGTGTGGTGTAGGGGGACTTGTGTGGTGGAGAGGGAGTTGTGTGGTGGAGTATGAGATGTTTGGTGAAGGAGGGATGTGATAGGGTACGTGTGGTGGGGGAGATGTAAGATCTAATCAACTCGACTTACCTTTTTTTAAACCTGTCTTGTCCTTCAGAAATTTGATGATGTGACCTGACTCTGTGTAAATACAAAGTTAACATTAACTATCTTGTGTGATTTAAGTAAGTAATAACGAGTATAGTTCGCTGGTACTTTAAAATTAATATCAGTGTATGTTAATTTGAATTTGAATAATTTTTAAATATTTTCAAAATGTAGTTATGTCATTAAACATCTATATTTATGCAAATAAAACACAATTTATTACACTCATGTTTAATTAGTATACGAAACGTGTTGTTGTTTTATCATTACTTAAATTTGTACTCTGCTCGAGTTTTTGTCAGTTACCCCTTACAGCATGTCATCACAGGTTGAAAATGTTGCTACTTAAAAACATACAAGGCATGACAAACCACAAGACAGCTATAACAACACACACGACAAGTAACCAAGTGGGGCGGGTATATTACAGTCCACCTGTTCATGTTACCTCGGCTTATAGAGGGATTGTGTGGTCAGCACTATGCCCAGCTGCCTTTCCCTAACATGAGTTCGGTACCCACCTGAACTGTGTGCTCAGGGACATTCTACTGACTTGAACCAGGATTCAAACACGAGAGCTAACTACAAACTGATCTAAGCCAACATCTCAACAACTGACTTGAACCAACAACTGACCTGTACCAACAACCAATCACCAAAAGGTGACTTCTACCAACAAACACTCACCAACAACTGACTTCTACCAACATCCACTCACCAACAACTGACCTGTAACAACAACCACTCACCAACAACTGACCTGTAACAACAACCACTCACCAACAACTGAGCTGTAACAACAACCACTCACCAACAACTGACCTGTACCAACAACCAATCACCAAAAGGTGACTTCTACCAACAAACACTCACCAACAACTGACTTCTACCAACAACCACTCACCAACAACTGACTTCTACCAACAACCACTCACCAACAACTGACCTGTACCAACAACCACTCACCAACAACTGACCTGTACCAACAACCACTCACCAACAACTGACCTGTACCAACAACCACTCACCAACAACTGACCTGTACCAACAACCACTCACCAACAACTGACCTGTAACAACAACCACTCACCAACAACTGACCTGTAACAACAACCACTCACCAACAACTGAGCTGTAACAACAACCACTCACCAACAACTGACCTGTAACAACAACCACTCACCAACAACTGAGCTGTAACAACAACCACTCACCAACAACTGACCTATAACAACAACCACTCACCAACAACTGACCTGTAACAACAACCACTCACCAACAACTGACCTCTACCAACAACCAATCACTAACAACTTACCTGTACCAACAAACACTCACCAAAAACTAACCTCTACCAACAACTGACCTGTACCAACAAACAATCACTAACAACTGACCTGTACCAACAAGCACTCACCAAAAACTGACCTCTACCAACAACTGAAACATGTACCAACAACCACTCACCAACAACTGACCTGTACCACCGAATACTCACATTCAACTGACCCCTGTACCACCGAGTACTCACCAAAAGCTGTCCTGAAGCTGAAGACATTGCTCACCGACAAGATCTCGCTGTTCATCTCAGCTGCTGTCGCCCAGCGGAGCCGCACGTGCAGGTTTTCATGCACGAGAGCGCCTCTAATAGAGATGAAGATTTCCTGCTTGAGGTCCGAACTCTCGCAGTAAAATGAGGTGTCACCCACCCCTATCTCACCCACACCGGTACAGTCCAGCTCGTTGCAGTTCGCTCGGAAGAAACCCATCTGTGGGGAGAACATGTGTGTTAATGGTGTGTGAGTGTGTGTACGTGTGGGGAGCATGTGTGTGTTAATGTTGTGTGAGCGAGTGTGTGTGTAGGAAACATGTGTGTGTTAATGGTGTGTGAGCGAGTGTATGTGTAGGAAACATATGTGTATTAATGGTGTGTGAGCGAGTGTGTGTAGGGAACATGTGTGTGTTAATGGTGTGTGAGCGAGTGTGTGTAGGGAACATGTGTGTGTTAATTGTGTGTGAGCGAGTGTGTGTAGGGAACATGTGTGTATTAATGGTGTGTGAGCGAGTGTGTGTAGGAAACATGTGTGTGTTATTTGTGTGTGAGCGAGTGTGTGTAGGGAACATGTGTGTATTAATGGTGTGTGAGCGAGTGTGTGTAGGAAACATGTGTGTGTTAATGATGTGTGAGCGAGTGTGTGTAGGAAACGTGTGTTATTGATGTGTGAGCGAGTGTGTGTAGGAAACATGTGTATGTTAATGATGTGTTAGAGAGTGTGTGTGTAGGGAACATGTGTGTGTTATTGATGTGTGAGCGAGTGTGTGTAGGGAACATGTGTGTGTTAATGGTGTGTGAGTGTATGTATTAAAGGTGTATGAGAAACTGTTGGAGAGTAAGGGTTAATGATGTGTGAGTGAGTGTGTGTATATGTGTGTATTAATGTTGTGTGAGTGAGTGTGTTGGAGTATGTGTTAATGTTGTGTGAACGAGTGTGTATGTGTGAGTGCGTGGGTGTGTAAGTGTGTTTTTGAGTTCGTGTGTATGTCTGTGTTGAATATGTAGGTTTTTTGTTTAGTGCAGAGTAAAATTAGCGCTGAATTTAACAAACCTCTCATTAAATTTCGCATTAGACCTACTTAAACCTCTACCTTAAATTTCCCCATAAAACCTACTCAAACCTCCGCTTTACATTTCCCCATAAAACCTACTCAAACCTCCGCCATACAGCTATTATAAACCTACTCAAACCTCGGTCTTGCATTTCCCCATGAAACCTACTCAAACCTCCGCTTTACATTTCCCCATAAAACCTACTCAAACCTCCGCCATACAGCTATTATAAACCTACTCAAACCTCGGTCTTGCATTTCCCCATGAAACCTACTCAAACCTCCGCTTTACATTTCCCCATAAAACCTACTCAAACCTCCGCCATACAGCTATTATAAACCTACTCAAACCTCGGTCTTGCATTTCCCCATGAAACCTACTCAAACCTCCGCTTTACATTTCCCCATAAAACCTACTCAAACCTCCGCCATACAGCTATTATAAACCTACTCAAACCTCGGTCTTGCATTTCCCCATGAAACCTACTCATACCCCCACCTTCCATTTCTCCATAAAAACTACTTAAACCTCCACCTTAAATTTCCCCATAAAACCTGCTCGAACCTCCACCTTACAGTTATTATAAACCTACTCAAACCTTCGCCTAAAATGTCTTCATAAAACCTACTCAAACCTGTGCCTTACATTTTTCCATAATAACTACTTAAACCTCTAAAATTTAAATCTCTAAAATTTACCCTATAAACCTACTCACACCTGTGCCTTACATTTCTCCACTTGGCTTTAGAGCACTGGACCACGTCCACCCAGGAGCAGAAGTCAACAAACACCGTGTAGCAGGGTTTCCGTGACGTCATGAACGTGGAACTCTCGTAGAGCACCTGTCCGTACAGCACCACCCGGTCCGTCTCTAGCACCAGACACTGGTAGCACCGACCCAGGTAGCCGTTGATCAGCAGGTTGTCGTCAGAGTGGAGCTGGTTCGCTGTAGAAAGAAAGGGGGGGGGGGGGGTCAGAGGTCGCAATGTGTGGGGGGGGGGGGTGAAGACCGACCCAGGTAGCCGTTGATCAGCAGATTGTCTTCATAGAGGAGCTGGTTGGCTGTAGGAGGAAGGGGGGGGGGGTCAGAGGAATCGTAAGGTGTGTGTGTGGAGGGGGGGGGGGAGTTTGGACCACCCCAGGGTAGGGGGGTCAGAGGAATCGTAAGGTGTATGTGTGTGTGTGTGGGGGGGGGGGGTGTTCGGACCGCCCTAGGTAGCTGTTGATTAGCAGATTGTAGTCAGAGTGCAGTTGGTTGGCTGTATGAGGAAGGGGAGGTCAGTGGCGTCGTAAGGTGGGGGGGGGTGAAGACCGCCCCAGGTAGCCGTTGATCAACAGATTGTCTTCAAAGAGGAGATGGTTGGCTATAGGAAGAAGGGGGGGGGGGGGGGTCAGTGGCGTCGCAAGGTGGGGGGGGGATGTTTGGACCGCCCAAGGTAGCCGTTGATCAGCAGATTGTTTTCAGGGCGGAACTGGTTGGCTGTAGGTGGAAGGGGAGGTCAGTGGCGTCACAAGGTGGGGGGGGGGAATGGGTGCTGATCGTACCGGGTGACACCCAACCTAGCGACGCCACTGGGTGACATCACTCCTAATTTTACAATAGCTCGTCTTCCAATAGGTCAGATTTGATCAACGTAAGCAACCTTGTATATTTACACATAGAAATTTGCCTTTATGGTATAAAATAGTAGTGACGCAAGTAGCATGACTTAACATTGGGATAAACCGTGTTGTGATTGTTAAGAATTGTGGATTTCTGGTAATCAAAAAGACAAAGAAGTCGTTTTAAAAAATTAAACCTTTTGTATTTTGATAAATGACAACATTTGAAGCACAATATACTGATGACACACGTGACTTAATGAGTAGGCTACAGGTAATTTCACTAAACAATTGCGTTGGTTATTTATCTTTGAATTTTATGTCTGTCTCAATGATTCGTATCTCAACCGAAAGTATTTTACCCTGTGATATTGGTCTCAGATAAAACGCAAAGTGCAAATATAATGCTCTAAAACATTCTTAATTTACGAGGTAGAAAACAAAATTATTTAAAGTACGATTACAGTATTGTGATGGGTATTTCTCCCCAGGCCTATAGAACTGCTGCCAGTGTTGATGGAGCTACCACTCTTCAAGTCTTAATAAGAGATTAAAAAAAAATTAACAATTTAATAATACTTGATAAACGCTAGGTAATATACAATATTAAATTACTCATATATAATGTATATTATTTGTTTAAGATTACACATTAAGATATGTAAACATACATTATACTTGAAGTCACTTTAATATTATATATTTACTAAATGTAATATAATCAACACCATTAACTAAAACAAGGTAACATACAACATCAATTGAAAATAAGTTAACATACAACATCAACTGAAAATAAAAATCTACTGAAAACATCGTACCATTGGATAAACCATTACCTGGGTATGTCACTGGTATGTACACGTGATCCAGGACTAAAACATGTGAGAGATAAATATAGACATGTAAACAACAAATGTGACTCAGTGTGTCTGTAAATATAATACGACCGATGTTTAATAAACGGAACAAAATGTTTATCCTTATTCGCAACCAAAATTTTCCCCCCAACTGAACTTTGACTAAACTTTGAAGATAGCCAACACAATAAAATTTAGATGGTACTGGCAGGTAACAAGCACCAACAGCCTATCCAAAACAATATTGCAAGACACTGTGCCAGCAGTGAGAAGAAGGGAAGGAAAAGGCGTCACTGGATGGCTGATAATATTTGGACTGAGCTGCTGCTTGCAGAGAAGGGGTAGCAAAAGACACAGACACAGCAGAAAAACAGTTGTGACACCCTCAGTAGCGTAGCGGGGGGGGGGACATATGTCCCCGGGCGCCGACCTTAGGGGGCGCCAAAATGGGTTGGAAAGATAAATTGAAAGGTTGAGGGTGGTGTGAATCGAAAGTTTGAGGGGGGGTGCAAATGGAAATCTCGAGGGGGGGGGGGGTGTGCAAATTGAAATCTCGAGGGGGGGGGGGGTACAAATGGAAATCTCGAGGGGGGGGTGCAAATCGAAAGTTTGAGGGGCCGTGCAAATGGAAATCTCGAAGGGGGGTGCAAATCGAAAGTTTGAGGGGGTGTGCAAATGGAAATCTCGAGGGGGGGGGGTGCAAATCGAAAAGTTTGTCCCCGGGGTCGCTACGCCTCTGGATACCCTAACTACACCAATGACTGTTAATATATTGATAGATTTTTCGCATAGGACATTAAAGAAATCACCCACGAAAGATAGACTTGAACTGAAACTCCTTGCTGACGGTCGTCGTGTCGCTGTCTGTGTCCTGGTTAGCCGCCCAGCGAAATCTGAACTGGTAGAGGGACAAGTTCTCGATGCGACTTGTGTTGAAGGCGACGAACAGCACGTTTCTGCTGTTGCTCTGTTGGCAGCTGCACTCGACGCTGGTCTCACCCTCAGGGTAAAAGGAGTGGCTCTTACAGTCAAGCTGGTTACACATTGTGTTGTACTGACACACCTGAAAGGTCAAGTGGGTACCTGATTCAACAAATAATTTGGATAGAATGATATGAATGAAAGACGATTTTGAAATAAGTATATAATTAATAGGCCCAATATATTTCTTCAAGTATATATATGTACACAAATACAAATTATTCCTTAACAAACATATGTATACATATAAATGCATATATATATATATATTGATTATTATATATATATATATATATATATATATATATATATATATATATATATATATATAGGCCTATATATTGTATATATTATAAATAAATAAATAAATAAATATATATATATATATATATATATATATATATATATATATATATATATATATATATATATATGCGTGTGTGTGTGTATTTATAAGTCCATGTATTGGAATGTTACCCATCTCCAAGCCTCAGGTTTCAAACATTCCCCCTCCGACCTGTCGCACACGTCAGCAAACAACCCGCTACATTGGGTTGTCGGGTGGTTGAAGGACGGGTTGATCACGTTGGAGCTGCCGAAGACGACCAGCTTGTCCTTGCCGAGGACGATGCAGTGTCTGCAGTTGCCATGGTAACCGTCTACGGTCAGCACGACTGGCTTGTTGCTAATGTTGGCTGAAACAGGGTCATTGTTTTAAAGGTCATTTATTCTTCAGTAGTTTTGTTCATTATGTCCACAATGTATCTTATAATGTTGTTGATAAGTACATATAAAAAATGTAATGTAACTAGATAATACGTTTTGTGAATTATTCATCTCATACTCAAAATGCGGTTTTTAATTTTAAAAAATTAATCAGTATTTTTTAAAGAGAGGTCATTTTTTTTTTCTTTACAGCTTTTTTTTTTCTAAAACGTTGTATGATCAAGAATATTGTGGATATAATCATGTGATTGTAAAATATTTCCTCGTATGTTTTCTGATAGAAGTTTTTTGACTGAAATTTTTTTCACTTAGTGAGTAGACACCTATTTGTCTATTGCTTTTGGAAACAAATTGTTTCGCTTGTAAATATTCAGTTCCTTAATGATTAAATAAAAAAAGTATAGTTGTCTGACATAAAACTGATCTTTTTACTCAGTTATCAAGTGTTCACTAAAACCAAATCAGTCTAACCTCTGATTGTCTTAAAACTAATTTCTTTGTTCATTTGTCGTGTTCAATTTAAACTAAAATACTCTAATCTAACCTCTGATCGACTTAAAACTGATGACTTTGTTGATTGGTCGTGTTCAACTTTAACTAAATTACTGTAATCTAACCTCTGATTGTCTTAAAACTAATGACTTTGTTCATTTGTCGCGTTCAACGTAAACTAAATTACTGTAATCTAACCTCTGATTGTCTTAAAACTGATGACTTTGTTCCATTTGTCGTGTTCAACGTAAACTAAATTACTGTAATCTAACCTCTGATTGTCTTAAAACTGATGACTTTGTTGATTGGTTGTGTTCAACTTAAACTAAATTACTGTAATCTAACCTCTGATTGTCTTAAAACTGATGACTTTGCTTGTGAATGCCCTCTGTTCTGTCGCATCAGGCGTCCGATCCCAGCGAAACCTAAAGAGTTGGTTGGGGTAGGCGCCGTCCCTCAGACGAAATGTGACCTTGTTGGGTGCCAGACAGTCGCACTGGAACTGGAGCGGCACTGTCTGGTACTGCAGGCTGTCCTTGCACTCTATGGCGTCACATGTGGTCGGGTACTTGCACAGCTGGAGAATCGGGTTCGAACAGGAAAGGTTGAAGTTGATCGTTGATAGAAAAAGAAAATGGATTAAAGCTGTATTACACAAAGCACTTCAGCCACTTGACATCAACCCTAACTCCACACACCACAATTCAAAATTCAACCCACACACACCACACATCTGCCCATTCACACCACACACCAACACATACACACCAAACATCAAAATCCACACACACCACACATCATCCGACATACACAACACAGCAAAACACATACACACCACACATCAACCCACACACCCAGCACATACGAATACATACACATCACACATCAAAACACACACACACCACACATCAACCCACACACATCATACATCAACCCATACACACCACACATCAACCCACGCTCACACACACTACACATCAACCCGCAATAACACCACACTTTAAAATACTCAATCCACACATCAACCCAAACACACCACTTATCAACCCGCACACACTTCACACAAACCCACGCACACAACACATCAGGCCAGACACACAAAACACCAACCCACACACACCACACATCAACGGACACACACCGAATATCAACACACATACACCACACATCAACAAATACACATCCCACATCAACCCACAAACACCACATATCAACCCACACACCACACATCAACCCACACACATCAATCCACACTAACACGACACATCAACCCACACACACAACACATCAACCAACACACCACATATCAACCCACATCAACCCACACACCACACACGCCGCACATCAAACCACACACACCCCACATCTACCCACAAACACCACACACCAACCCACACACATCAACCCACCCAACGCCATGACGAGTCCACCCCACAGTCCTGCAACTCTGGGTTACACGTATCAGCGTACAACGAGAGACAGTCCCTCCGTCCTTTATCCCCGCGGACGTGACCATTGATGACGACATTGTTGAACTGGTCTATATGCGCCTGTATAACAGGGTCCAGTGTGATGGCCGGATGCTGCACAATGCCAGAGGTCACCTCTAGATATGGGGTACAACATCTTTTATTCAAGACAAATCGAAAAAATGTTTTTTAATGTTTTGCGGTAGAGCACTATACTGCTACATTGCTAACCCGAAAACAAGTATTGAAAACAAATTTAACAAAAGACCCTAAACGCTTTGAAGTTCATAACGTTTACGTATCACATAAATTAATACTTAACCTCTTAAAACAACCAACTATTTTACGCATTCAAGTTAATGAATGTACATCAAACAAGTACTGACCGTTACTACCTTTGCAGAGGCGTAGCGATGGGGGGCAGGAGGGTACATATGGCCCCGGGCGCCGACCTTAGGGGGCGCCAAAATGGGTTGTAAAAACAAATTAAAATGTCATTTTAGCTGCATTTTTGCAATATAAATAGTTTGAGGGGTTGATGCAAATCGAAAGTTTGAGGAAGGGGGGGGGGGGGGGTGAAAATTGAAACTTTGCTCCCAAGCTGGGCGCCAAATTTAAAGTTTGTCCCCGGGCGCCGGGAAGGGTCGCTACGCCTCTGTACCTTTGGCATTTAATAACTGTACATAACATTAACAAGTACTAGAGTACTACACTAACAAGTACTAGAGTACTACACTAACAAGTACTAGACTACTAGATCTACTGACCTTCCAATGTGTCCAGTTCAATGACCTGACTCAGCAGGGTGTGCTGGGTGGGGGAGTGGTATGCCAGACTCCAGCGGAAGCGCAGGAGAAACATCTCGAAGAAAGGGAGGGAGACGACGACAGAGACGAGGGAGGGGCTCAGGCACCGGCACTCGTATTTCTGGGGGACGTTCGGGTAGCTCACCCTCTCGGTGCAGTCGAGTTTGTTGCACAGGGTCGGGAACGCGCACATCTGGGGGGGGGGGGGATAGTGGGATGTTAGGGGAACACGCACATCTGGGGGGGAGGGTAATGGGATGTTAGGGGAACACGCACATCAGATGGGGGGAGTGTGATGTTAGGGGAACACGCACATCTGACGGGGGATAATGTGATGTTAGGGGAACACGCACATCTGATGGGGGGTAATGTGATGTTAGGGGAACACGCACATCTGGGGGGGATAATGGGATGTTAGGGGAACACGCACATCTGGGAGGGATAATGGGATGTTAGGGGAACACGCACATTTGACGTTAGTGGGGGTAGGGGATAATGGGATGTTAGGGGAACACGCACATCTGGGGGGGGGGATAATGGGATGTTAGGGGAACACGCACATTTGACGTTAGTGGGGGTAGGGGATAATGGGATGTTAGGGGAACACGCACATCTGGGGGGGGGGGGATAATGGGATGTTAGGGGAACACGCACATTTGACGTGGGTGGGGGGGTAGGGGATAATGGGATGTTAGGGGAACACGCACATCTGACGTTAGTGGGGGTAGGGGATAATGGGATGTTAGGGGAACACGCACATCTGACGTTAGTGGGGGTAGGGGATAATGGGATGTTAGGGGAACAAGCACATCTGACGGGGGATAATGGGATGTTAGGGGAACACGCACATCTGACGGGGGATAATGGGAAGTTAGGGTAACACGCACATCTGATGTTAGTGGGGATAATGGGAAGTTAGGGGAACACGCACATCTGACGTTAGTGGGGGTAGGGGATAATGGGATGTTAGGGGAACACGCACATCCGGTAGGGATGGTGGATTATGTAATTTTGAGGGAATACGCACTTCTGTTATAGTTGGTAATAATGTGACAAAAGAAACACACACTTATGATTTGGGGGGGGGGTTAGCTTTAAGTCAGATAGACTCTGCTTGTCAACTATGAGACTTAGCCAGTGGTGGGCTTGTTTTGTTAGGGTATATTTTATTTCCAAGCAAAATGTGAGTTTAGTGTGCAGAAGGTTACATACAACAATCACCATGTAGCATTTTTACCATTTAACAATACATCACATATTTTACCAATGGTATTTGATACCCACACAATGTATTACATATCTTACCCAAACAACACAATCTAGTCCACTTCATGCCCACACCGAATCTACCATATTTTATCCAGAAACAATTGACAACCATTGCATCCTTTACCCAGGTCCAATTGATGTCCACGTGACAGTCTGACCACTGCCTGTTGCACATGTCCATGACCAGACCATGGCACCCCCCGTCGGGGAGCGGCAGCACCGTGGCGTTGATCGAGGCGTGGTCGTCTGGCAGCATGTAGGATCGAATCCTCGGCCTCGATTTGGTCAGGAGCGAAAATTCCCTCTCTGGTGCCAGACAAGAAACGATATTAGAGACATAGAAGATTGTACTTCAGAGTTTGATTGGGTGATATCGATTGTGATATCGATTGAGGTATCGTTTGGGGTATCGGTTGTGGTATCGGTTGTAATATTGGCTGTGGTATCGCTTGTAATATTGGGATATCGGTTGTGGTATCGGTTGTGATATAAGTTGTGGTATTGGTTTTGTTTTCGGTTGTTGTATCAGTTGTGATAGCGGTTGTGGTATCGGTTGTGGTATCGTTATGGTATCGGTTGTGATATCGGTAGTGATATCGGTTGTGGTATCGGTTGTGGTGTCGGTTGTTGTATCGGTTGTGGTATCGGTTGTAATATAAGTTGTGGTATCGGTTGTGGTATCGGTTGTAATATAAGTTGTGGTATCGGTTGTGGTATCGGTTGTGGTATCGGTTGTGGTGTCGGTTGTAATATTAGTTGTGGTATCGGTTGTGGTATCGGTTGTTGTATCAGTTGTGATATCGGTTGTGGTATCGGTTGTGGTGTCGGTTGTTGTATCGGTTGTGGTATCGGTTGTAATATAAGTTGTGGTATCGGTTGTGGTATCGGTTGTAATATAAGTTGTGGTATCGGTTGTGGTATCGGTTGTGGTATCGGTTGTAATATTAGTTGTGGTATCGGTTGTGGTATCGGTTGTTGTATCAGTTGTGATAGCGGTTGTGGTATCGGTTGAGGTATCGATGGTGGTATCGGTTGTGGCATCAGTTATGGTATCGTTTATGGTATCGCTTTTGATATCGGTTGTTATTTCGGTTATGATATCGGTTTTTAAAGATGAATTGTCAGCTGGACTTTCAATGGATATATATATATATATATATATATATATATATATATATATATATATATATATATATATATATATATATATATATATATATATATATTATTTTAAAAATCAGATAAAAACTGCACACTAAAGAAAGATTTGGAATTGGCAAATTGTGATATTTTTATTTCGAGATCTGGTTTTATCAACTGTTCTTTGTCCAGGACATTAATTCTAGACCCGTGCTAAATTGAGGTAGAACATTTTTTACTCTCTACAGTTCAGCCTGATATGATTTGCATAGGCAAACGCACATATTTGAATATGTGAGATTTATATGTGGTTCGAAAAGGTTTGACAAATACATTTCTCATGTTATCATTTGCAGGAAATCTGCACTTATTGAAGGTAGAGGGTATGACAGTTAACTCAGAAGGTTTCAGTTTTATCGCGAGCTAGTCATTAGGATGTTCCTGAGTCCACCCAGCTTTAATGGGTACCTGACCCACGTTATGAAAGTAAAGGTGGCTGACCGTTATATCGCTTCCTTATATCCGATTCCATAGAGACAGGTGAACTCTAGTAAATCGGATCGATGGACCGTTAGGTCCGAAATGTTAATTTTTACTTTCAAGTGTATGGTTCTAATTAATTGTATGTCGAGCGGTTCACGATTATTTCAATTAGTTTGATTAGTTTACTAGTAGAATCTGCTGAACTATACATAGACAATAGTATTATTAACTAATCTATCTAGATCTATCTAGCTAGGACCTAGGACTCAATGATTTATCTAATACTTAGTAATTACCTTCATTGTTGGCCACCGTGAATTTAAATCCAAGAAAAGAAAAATGCAAAAGTAAGCTGTAGATAAACAATAGCTGTCTGTAAATGTGAAACATGCTGATTGAAATACTTGACTAATCAGTAAATTAATGTTCTATTTAGTCAACCAGCTTTCAGCCATTAACAAATATGTGTGTGTAAACAAATATACTTCTTGTGGTGACGTAATTGATAAATGTGTATTGAAGAGCTACATTTTCACTTAATAAAAAATAACAATCGACTTGAAATTTTCTAAGTAGGCTATAAATGATACCGGTGCTGTAGTAAATAGAAACTGTGTTGTTTTTATTTTCATTATCGAAGTTCTAATATTATCAGCATTAAATTTTTTTGTCTGTCTACTCAATAACATTTAATGTTAAAAATACAATTAATATCACATACTCTCCGACGGTCTATTGAACAACATTCAAATGTTAAGAAAACACAATCGAGAATACAACTCATTTCTTTAGCGAGATGGTTTTTAATTATTTTCTTTTAAATACATTAAAACACACCTGAACAAACTGCGAAAACAATAAAACGTATTGTCACATTATGATTTTAAATAATCATAAATCTGGAACGGCGAGGCCTAAGCGGTATATAGCTAGGCTGCTAAAACAAAGTCTCGAGTTCGTATCCTGATCCAAGCCAGTGGAAAGTCCCTGATCTAAAGTAAAGGCGGCTGGGCAAAAGGCTGACCACACCTTCCATCACATGCTGAAATCAAGAAACTTGAATTCTACATAGTCTGCCAGAGTATCAGTAGGTCTAAACAGAATGCGTTATTGTTTTTTTGATTTACATATGAAACCTTTGTAAATAGTTATATATATATATATATATATATATATATATATATATATATATATATATATATATATATATATATATATATATATAGATAAAACCTGTAAAACCATCAATGCCGTGAACGACAACGTAACATTTGAATCAATATGGCCCTGTACTTGCCGCTCATGTTGTAGTACACTAGCATGTTGATGGAGGAGTTGAACGTCTCCAGGAGAATGTTGAACGAGTAAAACAGAAGGTAGATGTTTCTCTCCTCCCTAAAGATGGCGAACTTGGGCTCGGCAAGTCCCGTCAGGAGCAGCACGAGACTGGGCAGGTAGCAGACGATGTAGATTCCAGCCACACAAGACACCATCAGGATCGTGCGAGTTCCTTTATGGTTGCCTTGGTCACCCAATGTCGTCATCTTCAGCCATTTTGACCTTTTGCGTATCTCAAAACTAAGGATTGAGGTGAATATTATAATCAGAATATACGAGAAGACTTGGACGAAGGCGTGGATGGAGAGGGTGATGTTGGTGTCAGGGGTGGAGCCGGTTAGGAATGAGCACAACCAGGTTTGGTTTAAGGTCGGGATGAATTTCCAGTTTAAGTAGAGCTGTAGGTAGAACGGGATGAGGGTCAGGGAAAGGGAGATAAAAAGGCTGGATAAAACAAGGGCGGTTACTCTACGGGTGATGATTCGTTTGACTTTTAGTGGGATTAGAACGCACATGCATTTTTCGAATGTGACGAAAGCAATGACGCAGCTGATGATGCGGCTTAGCGTCGCGCGCGGGAAGGACGCGACAAGACTTTGGAACCCGATTGGTTCAATCAAGGTCAAGGCGACGAAATCGGGGTTAGAGGTCAAACTGAAGACCATGGCCGTCATGACGGAGAAGAATTCGGCCACGGCCAGCACAAAGAGGCTGATGTTGACGTTGTCTTTGAATCCCAGCCTCCAGAAGACTGCGATGTTGAGTGCATTGGCAAGCACACCACTGGCGGAGACTAGACAGTTCAAGTACTCAACGTTGACAGTCATGAACAACATCGCGATGTCAACACTTATCACAGGGACGTAAGGCATCATCGTGATGTCACGGGTAGATATCATCGTGATGTTTTGTGTGGCGGCGATCATCTTGTGATGTGTAATATTACTCTTAAGTGATGAATTGAAAAAAACATCCATTGTTGAAATTTCTAGTATTTTCTCGACTTTTTTTTTAAAGTAGTAAAAGGCCTACTCTTAAAACGATGATTTGCTACATAGTAGAGACGAAAGAGATTTATATTTTAACTTGACATCTTTTTGGAAACAAGCGCTAAAATATCAAAGAGGTTTCAGAAAAGATTATGAACATATAACTTTTAAAACACATTATGTATAGTATGCAAGGAATAACCTCTAATACACCAGAACAAATACTCTAAATATCGACTATATCTCGGATATTGCAGATTTAAAATTATATGAAATTAGAAAAAAATTCTTTTGAAATTCCGAGTGAGTCTTTACCTTTATATATAACAATTAGTTTGTTAGAAATGTAATTCGAAGTAAGTAAACAGACTAGTTATTAAACTAAGCGATAGACTAATTTCCCTAGTTCAGTATTAAACGTTTGAAATTTAGCACTTTGAGTGTAGATATTAACCTCAATTATCAGTTATATTATCTTTTGCAAACTCTACATGAACCATAGCTATCAAAGTTAAATGTATATTACCTGTTAATTTTATGTTAAATTACTTAGCTAACACCATCTTGCATAATATCTCTGCACATATAATCGACACAATTTCACGCAATTAATTTTTTCGCCCCTGCTTGGATGATTCGTTCGTAATTAGATTGATCTTAATTCGTTGAATTGTAGTACTATCAAGGCTTAGTAAGTGGTGCTTATAATAATGAATTTGTTGAACATTACATTTACATTTTTCAAATAAAATGTTAAGTCTTTCTTTATCTGCAGTATGTTAAAAGTGGTGTTAATTTTTCAATAAAGGTTAAAGTTATGATACGTATTACTGATAATTTTTAAGGAATAATTTTATTGTAAATGAGTTACTTTAACGTAAAGAATGAGATATGACTAATAAAACTATTGCTGTCACATGTGTCATGGTATAATAAGGTGGACACGTGTAAAATGTGTGTGGTGTTTCTTTTCTTCACTGGAGTGGAGGAGAACCTTCACTAGCTAGATGAGTGATACTTTTGTCAGGTGATCGTAATATGTTGATGGAATCGATCACGTGGTGTATGGATTTAAGATGTGAAAGACCAGTTTGAGATATCGATGGCCCAGGCCATACGACTAGATGGCCAGCTGGAGAGAGAATGGCCGAGGCCAAGCGACTAGATGGCCAGCTGGAGAGAGAATGGCCAAGGCCATACGACTAGATGGCCAGCTGGAGAGAGAATGGCCAAGGCCATATGACTAGATGGCCTGCTGGAGAGAGAATGGCCAAGGCCATATGACTAGATGGCCAGCTGGAGAGAGAATGGCTGAGGCCAAGCGACTAGATGGCCAGCTGGAGAGAGAATGGCCAAGGCCATACGACTAGATGGCCAGCTGGAGAGAGAATGGCCAAGGCCATATGACTAGATGGCCAGCTGGAGAGAGAATGGCCAAGGCCATACGACTAGATGGTCAGCTGGAGAGAGAATGACCGAGGCCATACGACTAGATGGTCAGCTGGAGAGAGAATGACCAAGGCCATACGACTAGATGGCCAGTTGGAGAGAGAATGACCAAGGCCATACCGATGGCCGACTGGAGGTCATACAACTTAACGAGCGAATGGCCAATGTCTTAAGACACGACGGCCAACCCAACCGGAAAGACAATGGCCCAGGACATACGACACGACGGCCAACAGGAGAGAGAATGGCCAATGTCTTAAGACACGACGGCCAACCGTGGAGACAATGGCCCAGGATATATGACACGACGGCCAACAGGAGAGAGAATGGCCAATGTCTTAAGACACGACGGCCAACCGTGGAGACAATGGTCCAGGACATACGACACGATTCACCACACCTCTACACCTATCATGAGTACGCTACAAACACTCGCTGCGCACCAATCCCGTTGTAAAATTAGCTTAGAAATGCACGATTTCACACCGGAAAAACGAACACTAAAACATGACATTTTTCTTTGAAGCGCCTCTCCTATTTCCTTTATACAAATATTATTCGTTTAAACTACTTTGTTTAAAAAAAAACAATAGGTTTTGTGTATTCTAGAAAGGTGTAAATGTTAACTCAAGTTGTATTTATCTCTCTAATATGTGCAGGTGGGTTGTAACGTGTAAAATAATTGGTGTTGTTTGTAAAAAAAGTAATGACATAGATCAGTGGCGACTCTAGATCTAGGTAGTGTGTCTTGGTGCATGAACTGAAACTGCTACACCAAAAAAAAATATTTTGGTGGTACATTCCCCTTTATTCTATTATTTCAATATGATAAAACACAGATAGTCTCAGAAGATACGGCAGCGCATTTTAACAGGAAATACTTTTGGGGTTTCTTAAATATGAATTACTGTAAACCATTGTTTTTATTTGACCGTTGAAATCCAAATCAAGTCAAGAGTAGGCCTATTCATTATTTTTTTAAGATTAATTGACGTAAACAACCAACAGAAACAGCATGTAGAAAAATTAGCAACATATAGTATACATAAATTAAAAAACTAAACTCAAGTGGAGCACTAATTAACGCTTCTTTTAATGAACTCAGGACTACACACATGTTTTTTGCTGGAATGTATAGAAAGATTATGATTAAAAAAGTAAAACTGGTTTCCAGCAATGATTAGCTTATGCATGAGTTTTGTTTTAATCCATCTGGCGAAATTGTGACCATATAAGGTCATGTCTTAATTTCTCCAGGTGTTGATAATGTAATCCTAAGGTCATGTCTTCCCTAGATATTCATACTATGACCCTATAAGGTCATGTATTCCCCAGATATTCATACTATGACCCTATAAGGTCATGTCTTACCCAGATATTCAAACTACGACCCTATAAGGTCATGTCTTCCCAGGTGTTGATACAGTGACCCTATAAGGTCATGTTGATACTGTAATCCTATAAGGTCATGTTGATACTGTGACCCTATAAGGTCATGTTGATACTGTGACCCTATAAGGTCATGTTGGTACTATGACCCTATAAGGTCATGTCTTCCCCAGATATCCATACTATGACCCTATACGGTCATGTTGGTACTATGACCCTATAAGGTCATGTTGATACTGTGACCCTATAAGGTCATGTTGATACTGTGACCCTATAAGGTCATGTTGATACTGTGACCCTATAAGGTCATGTTGGTACTATGACCCTATAAGGTCATGTCTTCCCCAGATATCCATACTATGACCCTATGCGGTCATGTTGGTACTGTGACCCTATAAGGTCATGTTGATACTGTGACCCTATAAGGTCATGTTGATATTGTGATCCTAAGGTCATGTTGATACAGTAACCCTAAGGTCATGTTGATACTCTGACCCTATAAGGTCATGTTGATACTCTGACCCTATAAGGTCATGTTTTCCCCAGGTGTTGACAGTGTCACCCTCACCATCAACAACTACAGATATGAATGCAATGACTGTCTAAAGACTGGACACCCGCAGGTCACTGTCTACGGTCAGGCCTTGACCTCAGAGGTCAGCACCGACCAGGTTGGGTGCCAAGCCCTGTATGCAGACGTGTGCACGGACGTCAACTGCTCACGGGAGCAGTCTTGGTCGTGGGTGAGTAAATACAGTGCACGTGAGATCTAATACACATAGAGTGGCACACAGCTACAAGTAAATACACGTGAGATCTAATGCACATAGAGTGACACATAGCTACAAGTACGTGAGATCTAATATACATAGAGTGACACACTGCAACACGTACGTAAGATCTAATGCACATAGGGTGAACACACGGCTACAGGACTTTACCCCCATGGATATTTCCCCCCCCCCGGACATTTCCCCCCCCCCGTATTTACCCCCGGAGCAATTACCCCCCTGTCAATTACCCCCCAGGGGAATTACCCCCCCCCCCCCCCCCCACCTCTCAAGTTAAAATCCTAACTCTAACTAGAATTTTATACCTATATACTACTTTAATCCAAACCGTAAGAAAAAGACCAAAACCTAAGCATCCACCTTAGCCTAAAACTTCACACAAAACCAAAACCAAAGCTAGACACAACCCTAACCCTAACACTAGCTCTAACCCTAACCCTAACCCTAACCCTAACCCTAGTCCTAAACCTAGCCTTAACCCTAGCCCTAGCCCTAAACCTAAACCTAACGCTAACCCTAACCCTAACCCTAACCCTAACCCTAACCCTAACCCTAACCCTAACCCTATCCCTAACCCTAACCCTAACCCTAACCCTAACCCTAACCCTAACCCTAACCCTAACCCTAACCCTAACCCTAACCCTAACCCTAACCCTAACCCTAACCCTAACCCTAACCCTAACCCTAACCCTAACCCTAACCCTAACCCTAACCCTAGCCCTAGCCCTAGCCCTAGCCCTAGCCCTAGCCCTATCCCTAACCCTATCCCTAGCCCTAAACCTAAACCTAACCCTAACACTAACCCTAACCCTAGCCCTAACCCTAATCCTAAACCTAGCCTTAACCCCAGCCCTAGCCCCAAACCTAACCCTAACCCTAACCCTAACCCTAACCCTAACCCTAACCCTAACCCTAACCCTAACCCTAGCCCTATCCCTATCCCTAACCCTAACCCTAACCCTAACCCTAACCCTATCCCTAAACCTAACCCTAAACCTAGCACCCTAACTCTAACCCTGTCCGGGGGGGGGGGGGGTGGGGGGGGGGGGGGTAATGTCCTACTGGGCGGGGGGGGGGGTAATTGACAGGGGGGTAATTGACAGGGGGGGGTAATTACTCTGGGGGGTAATGTCGGGGGGGGGAAATATCCGGGGGGTAATTGACAGGGGGGAAATGCCCTGTTCCCGAACACACAGCTACAAGTACATGCATGTCAATAAACGAATAAACCCGCAGCGTGTGTCAATTATAACGTGGGTGGTAGGCAGCTGCATGTGCGTGCATGTCAAAACACAATACTCACAGTCTAAACGGTGGGTACTTGTAATGCACGTGCACATGCTTATGATAACAAATAACAACTACTATCACGAGCACATACAAACGCACACACTGTCACAGTATAGGCGATGTGTGATCAGATACTACTACAGACACATGCACGCAACGCCAAGCTCACACTATACCTAGCTCTAAGTCGATTACACTGTTTCAACTCTATTTGTCGATTTTTTCGAGATTTAAGTTCACCATATTTAAATTTTAAGTTCACCCGAACCTCATGAAAACCTGTAGTGGCCATATCACACACCACTTTTACTAAACCATTTAATTATCACCAATAGCTTCACCTAGACAAAGATATAAAACCTTATTTAGCGATATTTTTGAAAAGTTATAACAACCGTATGCCCCAATGACATAATCTAGTACAATCCATTGACTCCACTCCGTAATGTATACCCCCCCCCCCGACACAGATCTGCATGTACAGTGGGATGTGCGGTAAAATAGACTGCTCCAAGGATGCCGTCAACTCACACAGCTACGAGTCCAGCCACACCCACCTGTGTCAATGCCGGACAGAGTTAGACGTTGACCACCGCCTCAGGGTCACCTTTGAACTGGACGTCTCCATGCTGCAGGTGATGCGGTTCCGGTTCCGGTGGGCGGATACAGAGAACCAGGCACCGTTGGCCGTTAGTCCTGTGGTGGAGTTAGCTATTGTCAAAGGTAATTCCAGCGTTCAGCTAACTTTAATACATTCAATTATGGTGTTTGACTTATTTTTTGTTTTTAAATTTCTTACGACGTTTGACTTATTTTAATTTAAATTTGCTTTAGTAAAATATATCTTGAATTTTCTCAAAACTGCACAAATAAAATATATTTTGGTGTTACACTTAAATGCATTAAGTGTGCGTTGCTTTACTTATAATAATAGTTACGAGAAAATAATGTGTGTGTACCGTAATTATGTTTGTGATGTTTCTAGTTTCTATCTTTCTTTGTAAATTATTAAGTCGTTGCTTATATATGTATACCAAAAATTGCAGTTACAGTGTATATTTGACATGGCTGTTAGTAATATGTGAATATTGATGATTTTTATGTGTGTTTATCAAAGTATTATTGATTAGATATATGCATTATAATTTGTTGCTAATTATAACCGCATGTCAAAATCATATTAATTATTTGTATTTATATATCAAAGTGCTAATGAATATGCTTATATGTTCGTATGTTGTTTCGCATTAGTGTATGTCAAGTTAAAATTTAAAACTTTTTTTAAAGCAAACTTTTACGTTATTGTTATCTATCCTTGTGTGAAGCGCCAGCAATTTAATTGTGTTATTTTCAACATACAATTGAATGTTAAATAATGTTAAACTAACTAATAATACAAATCATTGTTTATTTTACCAGTTTGGATGGAGTTTGGTGAGTAAACAGATATATCGTTGCTAATATTGTTGTTTTTGAATTGTTTGAATAATATTCTTTTTACAATTTATTTATTTTTTAAAAATTCTAATTGATGTAAGTTAGTAAGCACGATTTAAAAAAAAATTCATAAAAAACGTTTTAATAACAAGCTTTTATGTAATGGTGCACTAAAAAGTAGAAAATAAATTATAGACTACTATTTAAATAACTATAAAGAAAAGCGTGGGTCACTTTAGTATCTATTGGATACCTTTACTAATGTTGAGGAAGACACCCACGCTTTTCTTTATAGTTATTTAAATAGTAGTCTATAATTTATTTTCTACTTTTTAGTGCATCATTACATAAAAGCTTGTTATTAAAACGTTTTTTATGAATTTTTTTTTCAGTACTTTACATGTTTTATTTACAATAGAGTTACATGACTAAAAACCATTGCGCGCCTACTGAACATCACGTTCAGTAGGTGCGCAATGGTTTTTGAACGCAGCCATTACGTGGTCGTGATGGCGCAGCTATTGATGACGCGTGTGGTGTGGTTGGCTAGACATGCCTACTAATTCGGTCCAAATTTTAATTAATTCATAAAAAATAAATTAGGCATCCAATTAAGTCAAATTTAGTTTCAGATTGCATTGTCTTCATGTCTTGACCCACGTGCCAACTGTGAATCGTGTCGGTCAAGTAGAACTGTCCGAATTTTCACTCCTGCGTTTCTATCTAGACAGACTGTCGACAGACTGACGACAGAGGAAGTGAGTTAAATAAAAGCTTGTAAAAAATGATTAAAACTGGTGTTAATCTGATGTTGTACCTTGATATTTACATCCAAGCGTATACAAAAAATGTGTACTTATTTAGTGAACCAAACCCTGATCCATTCTAAAACCCTCGACTGTGATCCCAACCTAAGCCTTTCCAGAACCCTACCCTGTGATGCCAACCTAAACCTTGCTAGAAACCTCTAGTGTGAACCCAACCCTAATCCATTCTAGAACCCTCGGTTGTGATTCCAACCCTAATACATTCTAAAACCCTCTAGTGTGAACCCAACCCTAAATCTATCCTAGAACCCTCTAGTATGAACCCAACCCAAATCCATTTTAGAACTTTCTAGTATGAACCAAACCCTAATACATTCGAGAACCCTCTTGTATGAACCCAACCCAAATCCATTCTAGAACCATCTGCTGTTAACCCAACCCTAATCTATTCTAGAACCCTCTAGTATGAGCCCAACCCTAATCCATTCTAGAACCCTCTAGTATGAACCCAACCCTAATCCATCCTAGATCCCTCTAGTGTGAACCCAAACCTAATCTATTCTAGAACCCTCTTGAATTAACCCAACCCTAATCTATTCTAGAACCCTCTAGTATGAACCCAACCCTAATCTATTCTAGAACCCTCTAAAGTGAACCCAACTCTCATCCATTCTAAAACCCTCTTGAATTGACCCAACCCTAATCTATTCTAGAACCCTCATGAATTAACTCAACCCTAATCCATTCTAGAACCCTCTAGTATGAACCCAACCCTAATCCATCCTAGAACCCTCTAGTATGAACCCAACCCTAATCTATTCTAGAACCCTCTAGTATGAACCCAACCCTAATCTATTCTAGAACCCTCTAGTATGAACCCAACCCTAATCTATTCTAGAACCCTCTAGTATGAACCCAACCCTAATCCATTCTAGAACCCTCATGAATTAACCCAACCCTCATCCATTCTAGAACCCTCATGAATTAACCCAACCCTCATCCATTCTAGAACCCTCATGAATTAACCCAACCCTCATCCATTCTAGAACCCTCATGAATTAACCCAACCCTCATCCATTCTAGAACCCTCATGAATTAACCCAACCCTCATCCATTCTAGAACCCTCTGTTGTTGAGGCGCCCTACCTGATCATCCACGGCCACTTCCCGAGCTGCTACCAATGTATTGTCTTGGAGCGGGACCCCGTTGTCTTGTATTGGTCGGCTGTCTACGGTCCTGATTACTGGTGGCAGGCCAGGACCGGCCTCTGCTACGGGGTCTACCTCGACGTCTGCTACGCTGATGACGTCATGGACTGTGAGAATGGGCGCGAGTCGTGGTATGAGGTGAGTCAAGACATCTTATTTTGATGTTGGTAATAGGTGAGATATGACATCGTATGTTGGTATGAGGTGAGCCGTGATATATTTTGTTCATGTCGTGACATGTGTCTTGTTCATAACATACGTGTTACTAATGACATGCGTCTTCTCTGTGACATTTATCTTGCTGATGACTTTTATTTTGCTGATGACATTTATTTGCCTAATACATATGTCTTGTTGATGTTTTTTTGATGTCATTTGATTTCCCGATGGCATGTGCCTTGCTTATGACATTTGTTTTGCTGATGACAGCGTTGTTGCTAATAACATTGCTGTTGCTGATGAAATTTTTCTTGCTGATTTCATATGTCTTGCTGATAACATTTCACTGACCAGAGTTTCTTCCAGGCATCCCCCCCCCCGAAGAAAGTCTACCGCCCCCCGAACGAGACGGATTTTATATAGTAAACATACACTTTTACTAGACTAGTGTCCGCCCCCCCCCCCCGAAAAATTTTGACCGCCCCCCGAAAATTTCAAGTGCCCCCCCCCCCCCCCCCCCCGGAGAAAAAAGTCTGGAAGAAACACTGTCACTGACTGATACTATTTAGTCTTACTAATCATGTAGTCTTCAAGCAATGAAGAAAACATTTAACGTTAAAAAAAATATTAATTTATCACAATACGTTTTTGCAAATGATCTCACAAACTGAAATAGTCTATGTACCTCTCTTGTTATATAGAAATGCGCCTACAATTTTGACTGTAATAAAGTGAGATGCGGAGTCACTGAGCTGGCGTCACTACCAGACTCCCCGTGTCTGTGCATGAACGACGCCCAGTACCACCAGCTGTACATCTACCTGAACGGCACCAAGGAAGTGGCCAGGAACATGCATTACAGACTGAGGTGGACCGAGAAGTCGGCGACTGATGTGGCAGCCGGCAGCATCGCTTTTAGTAATGTCGTCAGCATTAAGGAATTGTACGGTAAGTGGGTACTTTCATCTTTGTATGATAAGTCATTAATTTAGTCACATTTTTATATCGTCAGCATTAGGAAATTGTACGGTAAGTGGATACTTTAATCTTTATAAGATAAGTGACTAATTTAGTCACATGCTTATATGGTCAGTGACTAATTTAGACAATTGTATATGGTAAATTACTAATCTAGACAATTTTTACACGGTATGTAATAAGACATACTTTTATACGAAAGGGACAACTTTATACGGTTAGTAACTTCTTTAGACAAAGATCGTACAGCGACTTTTAATAACAAAGATTTATTCTATGAGTGAAACATTTATACCCATTTTTATTTTCAAAAAATGAATAATGTGATTTTATATTAATACATGCTTTAATAAAATACAACGACTACATAGAATAACTAGTTGATATCTGTTTTGTTGTAAAAGGCGATGCTTAGGTCAATATTCTGTAAAGAACAATGTGAAATCATGCCTAGCTCATGATCACTCTATCACAGCTCAAAGTAAAATTGTAATCGATGTCTTTCGTTGGTGTTCAAAGACTTAAACAAGCCTAGCATATGATCATTTTATCCTTGCTCGAAGTAAAATTGTAATCGATGTCTCTTTTTGGTGTCCACAGACTTTGGCCACTTGGTGGATACTTTCTCTCAACTGACCACGACGTCATTTGGTAGGACTTGAATTGTTTTCAATAGGGTCCTTAGATTAGTATGACGAAGTTTTATTTTTTTTTTATTTTAAGCATTCTGTCATCTGTAAAGTCAAATTTTCCTACTTTATATACGCACTACACGACAATCCGGAAGCACTTCCGTGTTATATAAAACCAACTTTCTTGTATAAAAGTCCACATCCCTACTTAAATACAGCCTCACCACAACTACCACTCACCTCCACATTTTATAGATCACACTCCTGTATTCACTAACACGATAATCCATTCACTGAAGTAAGGACGCCACTCACTTTACAACGACCAGCTCATCATGCGACCTAACCCGAAAGTAAAAACTCAAACCTTCTGTATCAATCACAATTATGTGCTGCATTAATGAATTCATCATCTTCTAAATTAAATTTTTTTATCAGGCCTAGAGTTTCTTTCTACTTATGTCACCCTCGTATATCCCCTACACATCCCCCATCAACCCCGAAACATCACCCATCAACCCCGACACATCACTCATCAACCCCGACACACCACCCATCAACCCCGACACATCACCCATCAACCCCCGACACATCACTCATCAACCCCGACACATCCCCCATCAACCCCGAAACATCACCCATCAACCCCGACACATCCCCCATCAACCCCGACACATCACCCATCAACCCCGACACATCACCCATCAACCCCGACACATCACCCATCAACCCCGACACACCACCCATCAACCCCGACACACCACCCATCAACCCTGACACATCAACCCCGACACATCACTCATCAACCCCCGACACATCACCCATCAACCCCGACACACCACCCATCAACCCCGACACATCACACATCAACCCCGACACACCACCCATCAACCCCGACACACCACCCATCAACCCCGACACATCAACCCCGACACATCACCCATTAGCCCCGACACATCAACCCTGACACATCACCCATCAACCCCCGACACATCACCCATCAACCCCGACACATCACCCATCAACCCCCGACACATCACTCATCAACCCCGACACATCCCCCATCAACCCTGACACATCACCCATCAACCCTGACACATCACCCATCAACCCCGACACATCACCCATCAACCCCGACACATCACACATCAACCCCCGACACATCACCCATCAACCCTGACACATCACCCATCAACCCCGACACATCACCCATCAACCCCGACACATCACACATCAACCCCCGACACATCACCCATCAACCCTGACACATCACCCATCAACCCCGACACATCACCCATCAACCCCGACACATCACACATCAACCCCCGACACATCACCCATCAACCCTGACACATCACCCATCAACCCTGACACATCACCCATCAACCCCGACACATCACACATCAACCCCCGACACATCACCCATCAACCCCGACACATCACCCATCAACCCCGACACACCACCCATCAACCCCGACACACCACCCATCAACCCCGACACATCAACCCCGACACATCACTCATCAACCCCCGACACATCACCCATCAACCCCGACACATCACCCATCAACCCCGACACACCACCCATCAACCCCGACACACCACCCATCAACCCCGACACATCAACCCCGACACATCACCCATTAGCCCCGACACATCAACCCCGACACATCAACCCCGACACATCACTCATCAACTGTCACCCTCAGATATCCCCGGCACATCCCCTATAGAGCTGTCACTGATCGGTTACCATAACAACTGCACCGGGTGTATCGAGTTTGGCAGATCTGTCATCCACCTGTTCTGGCAACTCCAGTCTAAGGACATCTCCTTCCGACACCGACAAAACGGATGTTTCACGATCTACGCCGAAAAGTGCTTTAGCTGTAGCCCCAAGAAGATCGATTGGGAACAGGTTTGTGTTCGACATGTAAACATCGTTTGCCTACATTAACTAAAGAGAGAATTGGATAAAGATTACATTATTACATGCCAATGGCGTGGCTAGGTTGGGTCTCATCCTGTATGGCAACTAGAAATGAACGTCGGTGTCTCCCCCCCCCCCCCCCTCCTTTGATAAGTCTAAACTTTTCACGGATAATAGTAGCCATACTTATCTGCAATCGGTTAATAAAACAACATGATATAACTTTTTTTTACGTCATGGTGTCGTCGTCCCCCTCCCCCCCCCCACCAATCCTTGTCTGCAACTATACATTTCTTCTCCTCACCATTGTACTCCTCACAGGAACTTAACTCACTCACATCCTCCTATTCTACTGGCTACCAAATCTACACTTCTTCCTCAGGCTGTCTCTAACGCCAGACTAACACCCAATTTGTCACTTCTCAACTCACCTTTCATTGGTCTGTCTATTCTATTGGAGCCTCCTCTTTCTTTAACTACTTGACCAGTGGCTATTTAAACCTTCAATCTCATCTCTTATTTCACATTCTCCCTGATGCGTAAACTTGTGTTAACACACACAGCTCCACATGCCATTAACCAACGTACAGTTGAATCACCTATTTATTCTGTTATTCAATAACAACTGTTTTGACTTACCTGTGTACCATGGCCACGACCTACAGTTTACTCATACAACTTCACCTACCTGTGTCTTACGTCACCTCCACCTACAGTTTACCTTCGTCTCCACCTTTCCTACACCCCCCGCGTGTGTACCTCCGCCTCCACCTACAGTTTACCTTCACCTCCACCTACAGTTTACCTCCACCTCTCTTACACCCCCCGCGTGTGTACCTCCGCCTCCACCTACAGTTTACCTCCACCTCCACCTACAGTTTACCTCCACCTCTCTTACACCCCCCGGGTGTGTACCTCCGCCTCCACCTACAGTTTACCTCCGCCTCAACCTACAATTTACCTCCACCTCCACCTACAATTTACCTTCGCCTCCACCTACAGTTTACCTTCACCTCTCCTACAGTTTACTTTCACCTCCACCTCTCCTACACCCAACAGGTGTGCACTTTCGCCTCTATCTGCAACAACCTCCGCTGCAGCCTTGAATTCACCAAGCAGGTGAAGAGCCACACCTGCCAGTGCGTGTACCAGATCTACGAGCAGACGGAGCTGCTGATCCTGTCCTTCCCCTCCAACAGAGAAGACTTCCAGTACAGCTACAGAATTAAAGGCGTGCTCAGCACTGACCTCAGCTATCCTGAAGCCACTGTTGTCTACAGTAATACATTTCAGTTGTTGGAGATAGCGAGTACGTATTGGTTTACTGTAAAACAGCATAAAGCCACACACATAATATATGATAATATATGTATATATAACCTGTAATATATATATATATATATATATATATATATATATATATATATATATATATATATATATATATATACATATATATATATATATATTATACAGGTTGTATTTTTATCCATAACTACATAATTCATGCTGCTCACACTATTATAATTTGGGAGGTTGTTGAGTAAACTCAATGGAACGATTCTGTCTTATTGGTCTCTCCGATTTTCTAGTGGCTATATTGTCTGTCGTTATATTGTCTGTCGTCATATTGTCTGTCGTTATATTGTCGGCTGTTATATTGTCGGCCGTTTTATTGTCGCCCGTCACTTAATTGTTATCTAGAAGAATACGATAAATTTTAGGGAAGCTTACTCCCCTTTTATCAATCAAACACTCTTAAATACTGTTAAAATTACTTGTGACATTATTTTCAAATCTTTTGTTTTTATATTGTCGGCCGTAACATTGTCGGCCGTTATATTGTCGGCGGTCCATTGACTGTGACCTAGGGTACACGATACAGTTGAGGGGAGCTTACTCCCAATTTATCAATCAAATACTCTTGGTGTAAACATTTCTTGTAATTTTAATTTTCAAATCTTTTTGTAATTACGTGTCGGCAGGTCGCTGTTCTACTACACACTACCTAGAAGGTGATGTATTATAACCAGTGGCGTAGCGAGGTCGGGTGTCACCCGGGGCGGCACATAATGGTGTCAACTCTCCCCCCCCCCCCCCCGCCCCCAGAGGCGTAGCGACTCTTCCCGGGGACAAATTTTCGATTTGCACCTTCTCTCCCTCGAATTTTCGATTTGCACCCCCCCCCTTCAAGTTTTTCTCTATATATTTTGCTATTTTTTGCCTTGGTGTCACCCACCCCCCCCTAAATGTTGTCACCCGGTGCGGTCCGCACCCCCCTCCCGACCCTCGCTACGCCCCTGATTATAATACAAAATCTTTTGAGTTTACATGTTTAGGAAATGTGTATATACCTGAAAAAAGTGTATATTCCCCTGTTTGGAAAATACATACTAAATGTGTTTTTCTTTTGAAACAGAAAATGGCCATTTAACAGAAGACTTGCTAGGGAGTATTATCAATTCCAATACCTCCCCATACCCAGGTGAGATGATTTGTTTTCTATTCTAAAATTATTTCTTTTAAACCTTTGCTTAAATCTTTGCCTGTTTTTACTAAAGGAAATTACAAATAATCTAAAGATCTATTAACTTTGGGAAGTTCAATAATTTTTAGCGCAATTTCCATACTGGTAATTGCGATTATTTACTCATCATTTCTGGATGGATGTGTGTCCGCAGCTTTAAGTCGTATCTCCTCCTCAACGAAGCAATATCGAGGACCAGTTTCAAAAGCAAATATGTTAAGCAAGTTACGAGGATGATTGTGGGCCAAAAAAATTCCCGGAATTCCTTCATGTATTTCCCGGAAAAGCCAAAAAACCTCGAAGAAATGCAGTTTTCGGCCCATATCTCGGCAACCAGACCACTTAGCGACTTAAAACATTTACCAATCGATTCCTGTCATAATTTAGAACAATATTGCCGAAGAAAGTTTTCAAAAATATCCTTTCGTTACATTATACATAATACACTACAGTAGGACTATAATCAAGCGTCGTGGAGGATAAAAATTCATTTTTTTTTCAATCTCGTTAAAAATATTTTTTCTATTTTGTTTTGAATTATTAAAACTACTTGTGTTGCATTATTTATTTGCTGAATATATGATTTATCTCGATTTAAAATTGTTATGGATAACATAAGGAAATTGCGCTCAAATTGTCACTAGACTTTTTATTAACCTGTTTTGTGCATAGGGGAAAAGGAGGAGGCTTTCACCCTTCATCCACTCCGTAAATCGGCCTTTAATTGCTGTGTGTAAAAACTCTAAGAACGCCTTACAATAATACATCTTTAAAAAAATTATAACTACAAAATAATTATATTGTCCATGTTTGTTAATAACGGCACAAAACATAAGATAAATAGCGTTAAGCAAAATGTTCAGGGTGAGTTGTTAAGTTCAGAGAAAAAGTGTTTCAAGATTTCGATTTGCACCCCTCCCCCCATCAAACTTTCAATTTGCACCCCCCCCCCCCTCAAACAAACTTTCCATTTGCACCCGTAAAGCGCATGATTGCTAAACCGATAAGTCACGAGTTCAAACCCCGGAAATTTAAAGTTTGATTTTCAATGGCACAAACCATCTAGGAGTGGCAACTCCAAAATCAAACAACTGCATTGTTGTTTGTTCGTCTAACTGCGAAATCAGCCGATTGTAGATGATTTGAACAGTTCATTTTCTGCCTAAACTCTACACCCATATTCATTTAAGTAAAAGTCGGGAACAGGACATTACCCTCCCCACGTCAATTACCCCCCGGACATTTCCCCCCGTCATTACCCCCCGGAGTAATTACCCCCTGTGAATTACCCCTCTGTCAATCACTCCCTGCCCAGTAGGACATTAGCCCCCGGTCATAGCTTAAGGTTCAGCTAGGGTTAGAACTAGGGTTTGAGTTTGGCCTAGGTCTAGGGTTAGCGCTAGGGTTAGGGTTAGGGTTAGGGTTAGGGTTTGTGCTTGGGTTAGGGCTAGGGTTAGGGTTAGTGTTAGGGTCAGGGTTAGGCTTAACTGAAGGTCTAGAGTTGGGTTTGGTTTTGGGTTGATTTTAGTGTGAGGTGAATTTTTAGGTTTTTCGTCTCTGTCTTAAGGTTAGGATTAAGGTAATATATAGGTAGAGATTCGGAGTTAGAATTAGGATTTTATTTTGGTGGATGAGTGGGGGGGGGGGGGGGAATAATTCCCCAGGAGGTTGGGGGGGGGGGTAATTGACAGGGGGTTCTTGACAGGAGGGTAATTGCTCCCGGGGGGAGGGGTAAATACGGGGACGATATCCGGGGGGAAATGTCCGTCGGGGGGTGGGGGGGGGGGGGTAATGTCCTGTAGCGGTAAAAGTCAATGCATCTTACCTTATTTTTTCAGATATTATTTTCATAGCATTGATGCTAGTGAGGTCAGCCTATTTGTTCGCAGATACGATGTAATCGAAAGGATTGCTACCATATCAGAATACAGGAAAATCGAAAGGATCGCTACCATATCAGAATACAGGAAAATCGAAAGGATCGCTACCATATCAGAATACAGGAAAATCGAAAGGATCGCTACCATATCAGAATACAGGAAAATCGAAAGGATTGTACCTAAACAAGCGACAGGGAAAGGATGTAAAAAAATAGTTACTATCTGCCCCATTTCTTGTAACTTCTAATCAGTGATGATTGATTGTTGATTGCATTTGTTTACATATGAAGGCAAATCATGTATATATGCATATTTAGTGGCAGATTATTCATGTTCTAATGTTGTTATTTTCCATACTTATATAAAACATTTAGTTTAAAAAAAAATAAAAATTGTGCAGTAAAAATTTTGTAATAGCAGGTATTTGATTAATACAACCATTTTTTGGTTTCCGTGTGACCGTATTACAATATTTACTATAAAGGAATTAGGTAAAAATTGAGCAAGTGATCATAATATATGTTAAACGTCTCTTCTGTCATCTCATGTCACCAGTGGCGTAACTGGGGGAGGTCGGATAGGGCGGCCGCCCCGGGCGCCGAACATAAGGGGGCGCCAAAAGGGGTAGAAAGCATTTAAAAGCTCCTTTGAATATATTTTTAAACTGGGGTATTGAATTATTTACACTCAAAGTTAAGAAAGTGAACGGCTGCATGGCTGTACATACTGATTTAACTGTTCTCTACATCAATTGTGTTGCACCACAAGAAATACCATTATGGGAAAGGGACAACAACTCGAATAATTATATCTATCAATGGGTGGAAGGAGCGGCGCCTGATTGATATTCCCCCCCCCCCCGGCGTCTGAAATGGGTCGCTACGCCAATACATGTCCCCCGTATCAAGTTAAAATAAATATTTTCCCTGTTTTTTATTTTAAATAATCACTACTCCGATTAGTCCTTTATGTGAGCCTTGTTGAAACAAAAATACTGACTTGGAGTGGGAATAGAACACGAACCAGAGGTCTATCCAAGATAATAATCATAGGCACTGGCTAGGAAGGAGAACAGGGGTAATACAAAGAGGTCACTAGATGTAGGGCATCAAAGGCTGGACTTGGAAGCCAGTTGCAGAACTACTCACATCAGCAGACGACCGAAACAGATGGAGGAGAATTAAAAAGTAAATCTAAGCTGGTACCACAATGACTCCAATACAGGTAAAGGGATAATTGATTGCTATTTACCGATGTAATTAAAATGATTAGGACCAAATTGAAATGTTTAACTAGGACCTACAAAAAAACCTCCTTGTATCATTATACAAAGATCGTAAGTGGCAATTATTCAACCATTTTATTTCTCTTTATTGTGTAAAAACTATGCATTTTTATAATGTGTGTTTACACGAAATAATTTATCATATCCCTAACAAACGTAAGTTGCTTAGGTAAAAACACGTCATGTATGCCTTTTAATTAAACTTAATTAAAGACACATAATTTATGTGTTGTTAGTCGATCAATAAAAGATCTGCAATTATGCTAAACATAATGACGATTAAACATGTTTCGCTAATTTGAAATCTGATGACTGTAGTAACAAAACATCACATAATTTTTAGCCGTGATCGAGTAAAGGAAATCGAGCATAAATTAAAGAAGAAATAAATTTCTATTGACTGAACTAAACGTCTAAAAGAGTTGTCAATATTTGCTGAAATAAAAATGATTGATTCGCTCTTCCATGTACAAGTAGACATGTTTGTTCAGACTAATTAATTCATCGCGTCATTTAAAAGATTAAACAATTACATATTTTCTTTTATGAAGGTGTTCCGTTGATACTTGTCAGATAAAAGGGGAGAAGTTTTTAAAAAGGGTATTATTTGATTTGTTTTTGTTTTGTGGCATTTTGTTTGATTTGTCGTTGCGATGATAGATTAACTGTTCCTTTAATTTGATTGTGTGCTAAAAAATATTTACAAAAAAATTAATTGAAAGAGATCTTGAATCTGTGGGTTATATAAATCTATTCAACGCTCATGTTTCCCTAGAGTTATGTTTTTGAGGACCTTTTGTGGTTTCTTCCAGTGAGTTGGTAGATTAACTAGGGTCAGGTTTCAATGGATGCAAGTAGTTGACGCCCTGCTGTCCGTACACAGCACGATGCCAGCACCAAATTCCAGCAACAACCAAAGTCACGATGTTGTAGGACACGACGAGTTCTACCTGGGGTACGTCAGCCAATCCGTGCTGGACTTTGTGCTACTCGTCAACCTTGACCTTCTCTGCGGGGTCATCGGTCTGCTGGGTATCGCGGCGAACCTGGCCAACCTGAAGGTCTTCCTGCGCCAGGGGTTCAAGGACCAGGTCAACCTGACCCTCGCGGCCCTGGCGGTGAGTGACCTTGGGGCGCTGGTCACGCTGGAGGGGTACAACGTGCTGGTCAACCCCTGGCTGGCCAAGGCTGACCTGCCCTTCCTGCCTCTGGAGGTCCAGAGTCTGGCCGTCTTCTACCCCCACAACTATTTCACACGTGTGCGAGGGTTCCTCACAGCATTCATCGCGTTTGAAAGATGTCTATGCGTGACTTTACCATTAAAAGTCAAAACAATTATCACCCGAAAAGTCACGTTTTCGTATATTACAATCATATATTTTATAATGATTATAAACGTATTTCCCAATTATTATATGACTTATTACGACTGGAAAAATGTTAAAAATAGAACAGTTTGGGGAATATTCTACCGGCCCAACAAAGACGCCGTGTTTAATATTTCGTTTTTCGTGACGGATTTCTTCATTCCTCTGTTGTCGTTTTTCATCGTCATCATCTGCACGGCAATAACAGCGTGGACGCTGCGCAGCAAACTACAGTGGAGAAAATCCGTTTCCATGACGACGGACAAACCCGCCGCACCGCAAAAAGAGATGAAAGTTGTGCGCATGATCACGGTCGTGTCCGCCATCTTTATCGTCTGCTTCCTGCCGTTCTCGATGATCCTGACGTCACGGGCCGTGGTGACGGAGATGAAGATTAACGGAAGGTTCTGGAACCTGGTGCTGCTAGTGGGGTCAGTGGCCTTTGTCCTGGAGACCATCAACTGCAGCATCAGCCTGCTGGTCTACTACAACATGAGCACCAAGTTCAGGGAACACCTGCAGGCTCTATGGAGAAACACAAGGCGACTCTAGAAATAGGGCTGGTAAGTGGGTCACCAACCAGTTATAGGGCTGGAAAGTAGGTCACCAACCAGGTGTATGGCTGGTAAGTAGGTCACCAACCAGTTATAGGGCTGGTAAGTAGGTCACCAACCAGTTATATGGCTCAAGCAGGTTTTATTGAGCCGTAGAATTGGTTGGTGACCTACTTACCAGCCCTATACGGCTCAGTAAAATCTGCATTAGACATAGAGTTGGTTGGTGACCTACTTACCAGCCCTATTGGAGAGTCGTCAATAAGTCCAGTTTTTCTTTTCAAATGGAATTGGTAATTATTTATTTCGCAGTAGTTTGTATTCACAAAAATTTCTAAATAGGAATATGTTACGCATATTATTTGTAATATAACTAAATGAAAAGACATTTTCAAATTATGATAGTAAATAATTAAAGATACTTAAAAGAAATGTAAACGATTTTTTTCTTATACTATTTTTTATTCGCGATCCACAAGCAGATTTTTGTTATTAACAAAGCATGTTTTAGTAATGTAACTAATACCTCAGGCAAAGCTTTTGGCGAAAAAAGTTGCAGCCCTAAATCTAATTTGTCATTTAACATTCATTTCTTCCGATAGATCTTATCAGGCATGTATTCAAAAGCATTCACAAATATTAGCTAGTCGCACAACAAAACAAAATACATTGACTTCATCCGGGATCAGATATGAAGCTATCTACATTTTCTGGACAAAAGTACTCCAATAGATGTATGTACCATAATCGTTTTTTTTTGTAACATTAAACAGATACACAGAAAATACGATACGTCTCTTTCTTGTATTACAGTTACACTATTATTTCTTAAAAAAAAGCAATAAGAAATTAAGAAATGTAAAATTAAAAACAAACGTTTTCTCGTCTTTTAACCATCATTCACTTGACTTGTGTAGACGGTGTGGACGTGGAATACTGAAACAAGATGGCAGCGTATATAATTAAATCAAACAGTCAATACTGAAGATATATAGCACGTCTTTAGCACTAACGTATATAATTAAATCAAACAGTCAATACTGAAGATATATAGCACGTCTTTAGCACTAACGTATATAATTAAATCAAACAGTCAATACTTAAGATATCTTAGCACGTCTTTAGCACTAACGTATATAATTAAATCAAACAGTCAATACTGAAGATATATAGCACGTCTTTAGCACTAACGTATATAATTAAATCAAACAGTCAATACTGAAGATATCTTAGCACGTCTTTAGCACTTACGTATATAATTAAATCAAACAGTCAATACTTAAGATATCTTAGCACGTCTTTAGCGCTAACGTATATAATTAAATCAAACAGTCAATACTTCAGATATCTTAGCACGTCTTTAGCGCTAACGTATATAATTAAATCAAACAGTCAATACTTCAGATATATAGCACGTCTTTAGCACTAACGTATATAATTAAATCAAACAGTCAATACTTAAGGTATCTAGCACGTCTTTAACACTAACAAGATCTAATAATTATTTTATGATGACATTTAAATATTGATTTAATAAAAGTTATTTGTAACCAAAAAAACAAATTTGATAGTTTAATAAAGTTGTCCGCAACCTAAAATATACACTGTGGCAAGATGCAATGCAGAGGCGTAGCGACGGGGGGGGGGGGGGGCGGGGCGGGGGGTACATATGTCCCCGGGCGCCGACCTCAGAGGGCGCCAAAATGTGTTGGAAAAAGAAATTGAAAGTTTGAAGGGGGGGAGGTGTAAATTGAAAGTAGGGGGGGGGGGAACTAATCAAAAGTTTGAGGAGTGGGGTGCAAACTGAAAATTGAAAAGTTGTTCCCGAGGGGGGGGGGGGGGGGGGGGGGGAAGGCGCCAAATTGAAAGTTTCTCCTCGGGCACCAGGAAGTGTCGCTACGCCTATAATGCAGTGTAGATCTTGATATAGCATAACCATGACAATCTTCAATCAAAAATATATTCCACGACTTGATATACTTTTTCTGTAACTTACCCAACGCAATCTCAATACAAACTGGACATACTTTTTCTGTAACTTACCCAAAGCAATCTCAATACAACCTGGATATATATTTTTTTTGTGTAGGTTTCCCAAGACAATCTCAATACAAACTGGATATACTTTTTCTGTAACTTACCCAAGGCAATCTCAATACAAACTGGATATACTTTTTCTGTAACTTTCCCAAGGCAATCTCAATACAAACTGGATATACTTTTTCTGTAACTTTCCCAAGGCAATCTCAATACAAACTGGATATACTTTTTCTGTAACTTACACAAGGCAATTTAAAACAACAATGTGTTAAGCTGTTGGGCGGAGCTTAAAATTACTTACCCACGTCAACATTATACCGGCACTTGAGTCCAAGTGGTGTGAACGGTACCTTCTCACTAGGGATCTAATGCCATCCTTCACCTGTAAGATGACGAAGATGATGATTTAGTATGTATATGCGAGGCTCGCCTTTATGTCATACTTAAAACTGACGAACTGTAAGATGACGAAGATGATGATGAAGTATGTATATGTGGGGCTAGCCTATATGTCATACTTAAAACTGACGAACTGTAAGATGACGAAGATGATGATTTAGTATGTATATGCGGGGCTAGCCTATATGTCATACTTAAAACTGAAGAACTGTAATATGACGAAGATGATGATGTAGTATGTATATGCGAGGCTCGCCTTTATGTCATACTTAAAACTGACGAACTGTAAGATGACGAAGATGATGATGTAGTATGTATATGCGGGGCTAGCCTATATGTCATACTTAAAACTGAAGAACTGTAAGATGACGAAGATGATGATGTAGTATGTATATGCGGGGCTAGCCTATATGTCATACTTAAAACTGAAGAACTGTAAGATGACGAAGATGATGATGTAGTATGTATATGCCTGGCTCGCCTATATGTTATACTTAAAACTGAAAAACTGTAAGATGACGAAGATGATGATTTAGTATGTATATGCGGGGCTAGCCTATATGTCATACTTAAAACTGAAGAACTGATCAGAACGGATCTTGCACAAAGTATTTCATGGGCAGTTTACGAGTTAACCTTTTCTCGGAATCAGTCTCAATGTTAGCGAATATTAGGACAAAGTTGGCATTTTGTCGGACACAGTCTTAATGTTAGCAAATACCCGGACAAAGTTAACATTTTGTTGAAGGCAGTGTAAATGTTAACATTGGAGGATACGTTGAAAACGATAAAATTAAGTGAAGACTGTCTCAATATTTTTATTTCTCGGAAAGGGTTATAATGTTAACATTATCTCGGAAATTCCTTTAAGACAACGTTTTAAATAAAATAACAACATCGTTATATTTTTAAAAAAGTAATAAATATATTAAGTTCGCCCTTGTAACACTGAGCAGAATAAATGCTGGTTTAAAATTGCTATTTAATAGTGATATACAATTGCACGAAGACAAAACATTACGGTGCTAGACACTACAATGTGTGATATTTTAACAACGGAAACTAAATATATGGTAACACTATTTTTTTAAAACACTAGTACTCAATTAAAATATCAACACATACATACCTGTTGTTGACGCAGGCATTGAAAGATAAAAATAAACAAACCCTGTATGATAAATAGATTTAATTAAGAACAGTCAGTTAATTAAATTAGCGATATACGTGTGATGTAAATTGTAATACAATAGATTTAAATGTATAGATGTTTGCACGGTAAACATCAAATAAAACAAAAGGTATTATGTTTATCTTAACCATATGATTTGCGATATCGTATACCTTTTAAACATTGTGAATATTGTTACAATCGGTTTCTTAGGTATTTTGGCTCGTTTGGGCCAAGTGTAACAATTGTAAATAAACACAATCCATAAAGAGAATCTGTATAATTCACTGGTAATTTTCACTAACAACAAGAAACATGACAATAACAAAACGGACTAGCAGATACACTGTTGACATCACACCACACTGCTTCGTTCACACACTTGTTATATCGCAAGCACACCACTTTCAAGAGGAGGCAACTCACACACACACACTCTCTCTCTCTCTGTGCCTACACATTTTCGTAATAGACATCATCATCACAATATCGTCACAATATAATAGGGTAGGTAAGTAGGTCACCAACCAGTTCTACGGCTCAATAAAACCTGATTGAGCCATAGAGCTGGTTGGTGACCTACTTACCAGCCCTATTGCGTATTAAAGACACCGTACCTGGATTGTGTTTGTGATGGCGAACAGGTACTGGAAGGTCACGTGGGAGCTAGTCAGGGACAGGATGCCAAACAGCCAGGGCAGACCGAGGATAGGCGACAAGACACAGATGGACCGGACGACTGACCTAGGACAAACATAAACAATGGCCACGTGACCAGCATTTTCTTACCTAGTTAATCAGCTTGTCAACCATTTTATGAGGAGCAGAATCATACATTTCCAGCTCTGATGGGTAACTAACTTACGTTAGTGAAAGTACAGGCGGATGGGCATAGTGCTGACCACACTATCTCTTCATATGCCGAGTCACTGAAACAGGTGGACTCTACTTCACCTGCCCTATAGACCGTCAGGTATGGAAGGGGAACTTTACTTTACTTTTAATACTACATTTCACTGGCTATTTTAAACGCTGTATTGAATCGTGAAATTACGCTCCACATAGAGAGTGTCGTGGTCAACTGGAAGAGCTGGCTACTGGACATTACCCCCCCACCCCCAGTCAGTTACCCTCAATTACCACCCTGTCAATTACACCCGGGGAATTACCCCCCCCCCTACCCCCCTCAAGTTAGAATCCTAACTCTAACTCAAATTCTATACCTATTTATTACCTTAATCCTAACCTTAAGAAAAAGACCAAACCTAAGCACTCACCTCAGCTTAAAACTTAACACAAAACCAAAACCAACGCAAGACATTGGTTTAAGCCTAACCTTGAACATGACACTAACCCTAATCCTAGCCCTGACCCTGACCATCACACTAACCCTAGCCCTAACCCTAGCCCTAGCTCTAACCCTGAACTAAACCCTAACCCTAACCCTAACCCTAACCCTAACCCTAACCCTAACCCTAACCCTAATCCTAACCCTAAACCTAAACCTAACCCTAAACCTAACCCTAATCCTAACCCTATTCTAACCCTAACCCTAACCCTAACCCTAACCCTAACCCTAACCCTAACCCTAACCCTAACGGGTAATGTCGGGGGGGGGGGGGGGGGGATATCCGGGGGGGGTAATTGACGGGGGTGGGTAATGCCCTGTTCCCGGAAGAGCTATGGACTCCCAACTCTAAGAGTTCCGAGTTCATAACTCGGTAAGTTGAGGGTCACCAACAAGGGTCACCAAACCATCTAGGGGAGAAAACTCCAAAATTAAAAGACTGCTGCCTTGTTGAATTTTCTTGTATGCTGAAGGTAAATCCCCTTTGATATTACAATTAAAAACAAATAACAAGAAACGTCATTAACATACTGTAGTCTACCAGGCTATCGATTAATCAATCGAAACACAAAACATTGACTTGTCTGAATAGCCATCGTTAAAAGTATAAGCGGATCGGAATCAATAAAATATTTGCGTTTTCGTGCTAAGTATGTGACGCTTACATGGATCTTTCAGTGAGTGGCTTGTTGTTCATAAAATGCGCAGACTGCATGGCTCTAAGAACGAATACAACTATGACAATGTTTAGCTGAAAAAAAAATTGTAAAAATTTAGAGCAAATCGGGACAAAAGTTTAGTATATGTAAGAAAATGACTTTTTTATCTTCATTTCAAATTTGCGCTAGTTTTACTGATACACCAAAGTTTTAGTCTATGTATCATCTAACCAAACAATAAAAATTAAATTAAAGTCATTCTATTTGGTGGATGTGAGCAAGGTCGAACTTACAATAATGATAAAAATCGCCGGGCCGGCGAAAGCCCAATAGAGACCATTTTCCACTGAGAGCCAACAGCTAGACAGAGGACAGCGTAAATTATAATTTGGTGCAATTAAATATTAACTATTTATAACAGCATAACCGAAATCTTAATACATGTTCTTTCATAACACATGTACATTTTGTTTTTACTAAAACGCATTATTTCTTATAAAATGGGGTCATCCATAAATGACGTCACGCTTTTTTGGACGATTTTTACCTCCCCCCCCCCCCCCCTCCGTCACACATCGACAGAAAAAGCCAGACCCCTCTTCCTAAAATGATATCACACCTCATGTTATGATAGATTATAAATATCTATCATGGTGTCTCCACCTTTCCCCCCTTCTTGCTACCCCACAGGTAACGGTACACACCTGGACCTGAGTCCAGCGGTATCGTAAGGCTGACCGGGCCTCGACCTCAGACTGCGGTCGTGAGGGCGGAGCCTGTGTCATGTGACCTGTAGGGTAGGGACGCTACAGTCCGGTCACTCTACCTTCTCCCCTCTTCGGAGGTACACGTTTATTTTGGTGCTTAGGCACTAGCCATTATTACATTATAATTATTTTGGTGCTACGGCACTTGTTCTCCTCGGAGAAATTAAACGTACGTTTGGCAACGTGTGTAGAGGATTGTGTGGCTTCTTTGGAAGGTAATTTACTCTTACTTTTATTAGCTGTAATGTTACAATATTAATTAATAAGTATGGAATGAGTGTAAAACAATGTATGAATGAAAGCATATTTCCTAGTAATGTTTATTGTAGGCCTTATGTAAGGCTAATGTAAATGTATTATCTTAATTTAAAACTTGTATGTGTCTGAATGAATGTGTATATCACACATATGTTAGGAAGTTGTCACATGTATTTTACAGCCGGCTAGCTTGGGGCTGAAACTTAGACGCTACAGAGGTCGTTGTGTGAGCAAGCGTGACCACGCCGCCCTGAAGACCAGTCGCCCATTCCAGGCTACTCCAAGTTGTATTAGTACTACTATACCAATAATTAATGTATTAAAAGTTAAATGTTCTTGAAACTGAATTAATTCCTTAGTCATAATTTTAAACCTTTTACTGAACTCAATATTACTATCAGTTAATAACAATAATAATACAACATTAATAAACTCAATATTACTATTAAGGGACCTCTTGTCCAACGAGACAAACCCTAGACTAACAGGTCATTCTGTAGCTGCGGCTATAGTTATTTATGTGCGGTATGACTCGCTAGAGCATATTTGCCACATTGGGGGCTCGTATCAAAGCTAGATTTTTTTTTTAAATATATATAAATACTGGTACATTTTTATCATATATATATAATTATATATATAAAGGTAGAATTTAATTTTAATTTAATTTTGTTACTTTTTATGCCACAATTAGAATACAATTGTACATCCTTTACTAGTAATTACTTATAGTTTTCAGATTGTTAAAGTCAAAGTTAGACCTAGCTCTACCCACCCTTGATACCACCCAGCTAACTTCCCAGGGTGACTCAGAGCGACCACTGCAGTTTCGGTAAGTGTCTCTTGTTCAGGCAAGTTCAGATACTGTCAGTGCTCTACATTAATTTTTTTTTTAAAAACAGCTAACACTATTTGGGTACCCTGATCAGTGACCACCCTACCATTCCCCCTGTACAAAGGTATCCTACTCTTGACCTAAAGTTGACCGGACGCCATGGCATCCTACCAGGCTACGCAGCGGTCACAGCTAGAGATAAAGCGGGAGGGGGAGGCGTTAGGTTACGCGGGGACAAAGCTTTTAAAATGGGTCAGGGATGAGGTGGACGCGGAACGGGCTAGGGTAGACAGGGAACGGGAATTTAAGCAAGCAGAGTGGGCTAGGGACAAGGAAAAAGAGGAGCGTCAAATTCAGCTGTTAGAGTTGGAAATTAAACGAATAGAGTTAGCGAATCGTAGCAACGAGTATGTGGGGAAGGGGGAGGAGCAAATAGGTGTCGGATCATCGAAGGTGACACTACCAAAGTTTGATGGGGTGGCCGATCACCTAGACTTTTTTCTCCTTCGTTTTGAAGAAGAGGCTAGGCAAAACAGATGGAGGCAAGACTGCTGGAGTAATGAGCTCCGCAAATTAATGCCGGCAGAACTATTGCCAGTGTGCTTTATGGGACACAGAGCGGAAGCAAAAGCTTCCTACGAGGAGGTAAAAACTGCTCTATGTCGTCACTTTCATCTGACAGCACAGGGATATAGGCAAAAGTTTTACGCCATAGCACCTGAGGCTAATGAGTCTATTGTTGCTTATAGCAACAGAGCAAAACATTACCTTACTCGGTGGGTAGACTTGTCAAAAATCGACAAGTCATTTGAAGCCCTCCGTGATTTGATGGTGGTAGATAAACTACTACACACTGTCAACGAGGACGTGGTCAATTTCATCACTGAGAGAAATGACCTAAATCTGGACTCGGTATTAACCCAAGCCGACAATTACATGATAGCGCATCCCGATAAAAACCTAGCACGTATAAAGCATACAACTAAACCAATAGCGCACGTAGGTCTAGATGACAAAGTTAACAATCAGCCCAAGTCGTGCGCCTTCTGTTTTAAAAGGGGACACAACACGGACGATTGTTTCCACCTGAAGCGTTACACGAGTGAGAATGCCGGGTCACGGAGCGAGGGTCACACTGACCGCCAGCCATACTCGGGTCCGGTCAGAAATAACGCCTACCCCGCAGCTGCTGTCAGCAGGGGAAGGGGAGGCTATGGTAGCGCAGCGGTGGGCCAGGTTAGCTCTGGCAACCCTTTTGTTAGCCATCAGGCAGAAGAACAGCTATTGGCAATGTCGGACAAAGATACAAAAGGTGACAGAAAGCATTTTGATCAAATAAGGGATCCTCAGTTAGGTCTTGCATGTTTCGAGGGGGACATAGAATCTAAGAGGGGAACTATAGCTGATGGTGAAGTTAATGGGGAAAAGGTTAAGGTATTAAGAGATACCGGGTGTAGTATTATTGGATGCAGGGAATCGTTGAGTAACGGACAAAACAATAACGACACCGTTACTTGTACTTTATTTGATGGTAGAAAAGTGGTTTATAAAGTGGGATGGATTAGAATCAAATCTCCATATTTTACCGGGTGCACTAAAGCGGCGCTCCTGAAAGACCCGCCCGTGGACTTAATAATTGGTAGCGTGAGTGGGGCGACGATGGGCGATAACCTAGACGTAGCAGCCGCCCTCGTCACAAAGGCACAAACTAAGAAAGTAACAAAAAAGAATGACATTACAAGATTCATCGCTGAATTTGACGTGACTGTTGAACAGTTCAAACAAATGCAGACAAAAGACGAAACGTTAGCTAAGACTAAAATATACGCTCAGACTAAACTGGACCAACACGGACCCTCTGAGTTTTATTTTAACAGCGATGGACTGTTGATAAGACGATACACCGACGGACAGGGCGTCGTGTGGGACCAATTGGCTGTACCTAAACCGCTGCGGCAGGTGGTACTTGACCTGACCCACAGCAACAAGCGGTCAGCTCATGTGGGCGTGGCCAAAATGAAAACTCGAATCTTAGAGCATTTTTGGTGGCCTGGCTTATCTAAGTCAGTATCCTACCATTACAAGACATGCAATGTTTGTCAAACACACAAGAAAACTAAGGGTGGCGCAAACACTGACCACGAAAATAAATCTCAAAACAATTATAAACACTGGGACTTATTTAGAGACAGAATAAAAACCAGTGCAATAAAACTAAAAGCTACAGCTAATACTTATGCTCCAAAGAAAAGACATATTGCTCCAATGATAAGTAACATTGTGTATAACGGTTATAAAAATTATAACAAAGCCTAAAAACAAGAACAGCCTGACAATTAATTCTGAACCAATGCCTGTAACAAAAGACTTACAGAAATGTAGGCGGTCAGAACGGTCACAATACGACGCTAGATAGACAATTCTATATAAATGTATATTTACATAAAATGCATTTGTTATCATGTTTTATTTCAGTTTGATAAATTACATGTTTAGTTAACATGATGAATGTATACTTATTTTACATGTCTTTGCATTTGTTTCATAGAGCACCCACTTTCAATGTAGGGTCTACTATGCACAGCTATTCAATTGAATGTACCAAGTAAACACTTATAAATATAGTTATACTACTCACCATTTCTTTTGGACATAAATGTCATAAAATTTATGATAGTCCTACTTATATATGTAGTTAAAATTGATTACATTTAGCGGTGTAAACGCTTTTGATTTCCTTGATTTTTATGTAATACAGTTGTATAATGTGATCGTACTGTAACCTTTTATTTTACACAATGACAAAATGTATGGTATGTAAGGATTTAATATGAAAAGTGTGTTTAGGTTGCGCTAAAGGTGTGCTTTCAGCAAACCATTATCGCGGGGAGGGGGATGTTATGATAGATTATAAATATCTATCATGGTGTCTCCACCTTTCCCCCCTTCTTGCTACCCCACAGGTAACGGTACACACCTGGACCTGAGTCCAGCGGTATCGTAAGGCTGACCGGGCCTCGACCTCAGACTGCGGTCGTGAGGGCGGAGCCTGTGTCATGTGACCTGTAGGGTAGGGACGCTACAGTCCGGTCACTCTACCTTCTCCCCTCTTCGGAGGTACACGTTTATTTTGGTGCTTAGGCACTAGCCATTATTACATTATAATTATTTTGGTGCTACGGCACTTGTTCTCCTCGGAGAAATTAAACGTACGTTTGGCAACGTGTGTAGAGGATTGTGTGGCTTCTTTGGAAGGTAATTTACTCTTACTTTTATTAGCTGTAATGTTACAATATTAATTAATAAGTATGGAATGAGTGTAAAACAATGTATGAATGAAAGCATATTTCCTAGTAATGTTTATTGTAGGCCTTATGTAAGGCTAATGTAAATGTATTATCTTAATTTAAAACTTGTATGTGTCTGAATGAATGTGTATATCACACATATGTTAGGAAGTTGTCACATGTATTTTACAGCCGGCTAGCTTGGGGCTGAAACTTAGACGCTACAGAGGTCGGTGTGTGAGCAAGCGTGACCACGCCGCCCTGAAGACCAGTCGCCCATTCCAGGCTACTCCAAGTTGTATTAGTACTACTATACCAATAATTAATGTATTAAAAGTTAAATGTTCTTGAAACTGAATTAATTCCTTAGTCATAATTTTAAACCTTTTACTGAACTCAATATTACTATCAGTTAATAACAATAATAATACAACATTAATAAACTCAATATTACTATTAAGGGACCTCTTGTCCAACGAGACAAACCCTAGACTAACAGGTCATTCTGTAGCTGCGGCTATAGTTATTTATGTGCGGTATGACTCGCTAGAGCATATTTGCCACACCTCAGCCTACAACCCCTTTCCCCTTAAAATTGCAGTTTAATTTTTCATACCCCTTACGAGTGTGACGTCATTTATGTATGAACGACCCGAATGTTTGTGCACATTTTATTTAATACTACAATACAATCTAGCCAAGTACCTGTGAACGGCTGCATGTTATTTAATTATAAATAACCCAATTATAAAAACCCAATTATCTTACTACGTCTCCGTGCCATATCCATGAGATTCTGTTATCGCAAGGCACAAGGCTACGATGATAAGAGGTCCACCTTATAAGGTCAATGAACGTGATAAAATTAGCGTGATTTTAATTAAGGTTCAACCTAAAGCTAAAATGTGAGGTTTGACCAAAAGCTAAACAACAAGGTTTAACTACAACGTTAAACATTTTTAACTAAAATGTCTAACTATATTGTTTATACAAAAGCTAAATTATAAGGTTTAACTAAAATAGCAAGCTGTTAGGTTTAACTAAAAGCTTAACTATAAGGTTTGACTAAAACGACAAGCTATAAGGTTTAATTAAAATGGCAAGCTGTTAGGTATACAAGGTTTAACTAAAAGGTTTAACTAAAACGACAAGCTATAAGGTTTAACCGAATCCCTGGCCGACACAGAATGTTCCCCGGCCTACCGTACGTTAGAGGAAGTGCCGTTCGTACGATGGAACGTGACGTCACCACCAGGACGGAGCGCAGCAGATCCAAGCCTTGACTTAACATGGAGAAAAACACGACCAACATCAGATAGTGAAGCAGGATGGCTATCCAGGTACACGCCATCTTGTAAGGGGAGGTAAGGTTTAGTACATTAGTTTACCATTCTTGTGAGGGGAGGTAAGATTTAGTACATTCGTTTACCATTCTTGTTAGGGGAGGTAAGATTTAGTACATTCGTTTACCATTCTTGTTAGGGGAGGTAAAATTTAGTACATTCGTTTACCATTCTCGTTAGGGGAGGTAAGATTTAGTACATTAGTTTACCATTCTTGTAAGCGAAGGTAAGATTTAGTACATTGGTTTAACATCCTTGTAAGGGGAGGTAAGATTTAGTACATTAGTTTACCATTCTTGTTAGGGGAGGTAAAATTTAGTACATTCGTTTACCATTCTCGTTAGGGGAGGTAAGATTTAGTAGTTTACCATTCTTGTAAGCGAAGGTAAGATTTAGTACATTGGTTTAACATCCTTGTAAGGGGAGGTAAGATTTAGTACATTAGTTTACCATTCTTGTGAGGGGAGGTAAGATTTAGTACATTAGTTTACCATTCTTGTAATGGGGGGTGGGGAGATTAGTACATTCGTTTACCATTCTTCTAAAGGGAGGTAAGATTAAGTACATTTGTTTAACATGCGTGTAAGAGGAGGCAAGATTTAGTATTAGTTTACCATCCGTAACATTATTTAGTACATTAGGTAACATTTAGTAAGTTTAATGTATTCGTTTACCATCAATAAAACATAAGAGAAAATGATTCATCAATACACTCTAAACTGAGGCACATGCCGCGCGTATTTAAATACCAAATAAAGGTGTCTTTGTTGATTACTGTAGACTTAATATTTGGTGATTAATTAATGTAAATTGTAAAAACAAAATCAAGCAGGCACCTTATTTTCTGTTTGTTCGATTCCCACCAAAAACAAAGTGTAGCCTAATGTCAAGGCCACTGACAAGTTCACGTAGAAAGCGGCGCGTTCTGACGTCACATATCTGTGGTTGCAGAATAACTCAGGTAAACAAATGAAAGGTGAGGTAAATGAAATGTCAAGCATAAAAGGGTGGGTTAATTAAAAACTAAATACACCAGTAAACAAATGAAAGGTGAGGTAATTAAAGTTTAGTGCATAAGAGGGTAGGTTAACTAAAAACTTAAAACAATAAACAAATGAAAGGTGAGGTAATTCTTCTTCTTCTTCTTCCTTCTTAATGTTAGTTTTGGAAGGGATCCCCCTTCAACACAATTAAGGATACGTGTCAACTGGTTATGCGCCATCATTGACTCCGATTACAGCCTGCTTTTCTTTTAGGCTTTGCTTCCATAGCCTTTGTCCAAGAAAGAACAAACTACAAAGCAGCAGTTATTTGATTTTGGAGTTGTCTCTCCTAGAAGAGTGGTTGTCCCCCAGCTAACAAGCCTCATCTGCCCGAGGGTTCTAACTCGAGACTTTTCGGTTTAGCAACCATGAGCTTTACCAACTCGACCACGCCGACCCCGGTGAGGTAATTGAAGTGTCTTGTATAAAAGGGTGAGTTAATTAAAAACACACCAGTAAACAACATAAACAGTACATAAAAACATTCATTAAAAACTAAATAAAATCGCTCAAGAAGATGTTCCTAAATAAAACTACACTGTATTCGGTTTGTCCGTTTGGTGACTCGGTGTTCTTTATATTTGCAGATTCAAGTATCTACTGGAACAGAACGGACTCGAACCTGAGAACTGGACTCGAGGTTTACGAGTTATGACCGCGCATTCTACACTTAACCACGATACCATAGATCAGGATGCATTTGTAATCTACGGGATTGGTGTATACTACGACTGACTGGGGATGAAGAAAATGAACTGGGATACTAAACCTAAACATGATCCTTATTATCGTTAAAATCCAGGTTGTAATTTTAAGCGTTTCATTATCATCTTTTCACGTTCCTACTCAAGTCACACGGTGCAGATGAAGTAGAGTTTATCTCTTTCAACGACCACGGCAAACGTGGGTGGTTTTAGTCAGCACTATGCCCTGCTGCCTATTTTTTTCCCAATTGCTAGTCAGGTGCCAATCAGAGTTGGGTGGACTCAGGGACGTTCTACAGACTTGAGACCATTGTATCCAATTGCTAACGGTCTTGACTAACGGAGAAACTAGATTAAAAACAGTAGTTAACGACCAACGGATAGACTAAATTAAAAAAAGTACTTAAGTTGAACAACGGAGAGACAGAATTAAAAATAGTAGTTAACTTGAACAACCGAGAGACTTAATTAAAAATAGTAGTTAACTTGAACAACCGAGAGACTTAATTAAAAATAGTAGTTAACTTGAACAACCGTGAGACTTAATTAAAAATAGTAGTTAACTTGAACAACCGAGAGACTTAATTAAAAACAGTAGTTAAGTTGAACAACGGAGAGACTTAATTAAAAACAGTAGTTAACTTGAACAACGGAGAGACAGAAATATAAATACTTGACGAACGTGACAAAACAGATTTACCTCCACACAATAGCGTACACTATGATTGTCGTAAGAAGACATGCAATGGAAAGTGAGGTACAGATCTTCGACAACATAGCCAAGCCGTAGTTGTCCTTGTGCTGTAAAGTAAACAAAATGGACAGACAAATAGGTTACATACATTACATACATATATTAGTTAAAATATGTCCTATCATTCTGATATTTTCTTACTTTATCTATTAACAAGATAAAAAAAAACATTCTTTCATTATAATGTTTTTGGTTGAAACTTCGACATGAAAAAACAAAATATTCTTTATGAAGTTTAACGTTTTTTACAACCCATTAAATTAATAAAATTTTAGATCAGACAAAAAATACAAATAGGTTATTTCTTTCAGTCCAGTTTGACGTACCAAATAGGCGTATGGGCTCATGAGCACTGCAAAGTTTGTAGTGTGGTTAAACTCACACGTAACACGAAATTGATCACTGTACACCACGTGACACCCGTAAGTTGACCACACTCCTGTCTCACTATTTATCACACAATTAGAGATTTGAGTCAACGGTATTAAAATTAATACAGCCCAACATTTCTAAGCTAAATCACGTGACTAAAATACATCACACAATATAAGACAGACATCAATGGTATTTAATTAATTAAAGCCAATATTAATTAGTTTAATTAATATCTAAGATGTATCACACAATTAGAGAGATGACTTATCGGCTTTAATTAATTAGAGCAATCATGAATTGACGTGTAAGAATGAAAGTGTCAGATCTTACTTGGTAGATGTATCCAAAAATGCGCACGATGGATCAGTTTGGTTTGTCTGTGGACAATATTTAAAATGAAATACTAATCTATCAAGGATCACGCTGTCAATATTTAAAATGAAATACTAATCGTATCAAGGATCACGCTAACCACAGTCATTGTTTACTAAAACATCGTGCGGTGTGTGGCATATCTATTCATACGTCTTAAAGTTATCATTCCATGTAGAGTATATCAGGACAAAATGGGAAGTCAGTAAGTCAGTAGATTAAGCTTTCAAGGCCGAGATTAGAGCTACCTTGGGTTCATGGTTTGGGTAAGCATTCTTTTAGAATCATCGCAACGATTTAGCGATAAAGCGTTGGACGTTTTCCTTTGTATTAAGTTGATTTTTTAAGCTTGATGTTCAGACTGTGAACTAAAGGGATGATTTGTATATGACTGCTGCGGCGCTAAGTTAGATTTCGGCGGATTTAGCGTAGCATATTTAGCTGAATTCAGATAATATGACAGAAATGGCGCTCAACTGGATATCAATGACGGCCAAGCAAGACGTGGAGGTGCACGGCGGGGAAACAGCTGAAAGAGGCCGCTCCCCGGTTATAGGGCTGGTAAGTAGGTCAACAATCAGTTCTATGGCTCGTGCAGGTTTTATTGAGCCGTAGAACTGGTTGGTGACCTACTTACCAGCCCTATTGCAAACATGCATGTATCACAGTTACTGATTCACGTAAAATCTACTTCCCCTGACATGTACTCTGACAGTATTTAGCCAATACCTATATCATATAAAGCGAGGGTTAATCATATCGCATGTGGGCGTTAAGCTTAACAATACAAAAAGGTTTCGAATCGGAAGTCGGGGATATATAACACTAATTCTAATTGCTTATTTCCTTTCCTCACTGCATTGTCTGTCAACAGTTATTATAAAGTCGTACACATATAATGTTAACTGATAATATGTTAACAGATAATATGTTAACAGAAACTTGCAGCATTTATTGAAAAGTTCACTTTAAGGGGCGGCACAAGATTTCCGGAAAATCCCGGAAATGTAAAGGAGATGACGTCAGATGCAACATTTTTCCTTGCCAGAGCATATCCGTATCTGTGCCTGCAATCATTGACAACCATTTTTATCACATGAGTCTAAAGAGCGCTAGGACATGTGTCGTCACAATTAAATGATAATTTTAGAAAAGTATTTTGATCTTACTGCGACAATCATCAACATTCACACACACACACACACACACACACCCAAGCACGCACTGACACACATCATAAACACAGCAACAAACACACACACACACACACAAAAGATACGCTTAATATGTTTTCAAACAGTGGCGTCGCTAGGTCGGGTGTCAACCCGGTGCGGCACCTCACGGTGCCCCCCCCCCCACATTTTTTTTCACTTTAAATTCTGCTATTATTTTCAACTCCCTCACCCCCCCCCCTCTCAACCCACATATAAAGCTGTAAAGTGTTCACATGTAATACGTATGATGTTTAACTATCTTTGGTGATTAATACAACTGGATGTATCATTATTTCCCTCCCCCCGCCTCGCGACGCCTCTGCTTTATTAACATAATGTACAGAGGTCAAATAAAATCACGTGAAACATAGCTACACTGGACTACCCTTGGAGTATATCTAAATATCTTAACGATTTAAAACTTTACCGCTTTTGTTTTTCTGGATCGATTTTAAAATGCTTTGATACGTCGTGATAGGCAATCACTGTGTAGTTCACTAGACCTTTTTAGATATGCAGACTTGCAATCAAGTTCATGATTAAAAA